AAACACACTTTCTTAATACTTTTTTAAAGAACCCCATTATCAATTGTTTAAGTAATATTGTGGAAGGCCGTTCATATTTGGATTTTGTTTTGATTCAAATAAGTAAGGCAATGGGAAACATAATTTTATTGCAGATCTAAATATAAAGCAGAGTTCCGCTGGCAGCACTCCACTTTCCTCGTTTTCCCAGTAGAAAGGGGGCAGGGCATGCATAATATTCCCAGTTTTAGAAACAGCAAACCTTGTAAAGCATTTGGTGCTCCTGCCTCCATATAGTCCATAAGAGCTGTGCGGCACAGTGGTTGGAATGCAGTATTGTAGGCAAACTCTGCCCACAGTCTGGAGATTAATCCTGATCACCTTAAGGTTGACTCAGCCTTCCCAAGGTCGCTAAAATGAGGACCCAGGTTCTTGGGGGCAATATGCTGACTCTAAACCGCTTAGAAAGGGCTGTGAAGCACTGTGAAGCGGTATATAGGTCTAAGTGTTATTGCTATTTCGTACCTCATGAATACAGCCACCTTCCACCCCCCTTCAGTTCTGGATTCCTGATTGGTCTTGTGAACCCCTGTTGATTTGTGTTGATTTTGTTGGTTTGTATTATAAGGGGATGGTCTGTAGTAATAAGAGCCATTCCTTTATCGTTCGGAAACAAGCTCATCAATTTCCCAGGAGGTTACTTTCAATAAAGGATGTTGATTGTAGCTTTAAGAATAAAATTAAACATTGCTGTAATGATATTCGAGCGATGAACAGGACAATCTCTTTCTGTTCTTCCCTTCTTCCTCCCCGCCTACTAGGGTTACAGACTACCCGCTTAGGAAATCATTTGGAAGAGCGTGTAAACAAATTTCTGCGGCGGCAGAATCACCCAGAAGCTGGGGAAGTGTTTGTGAGAGTAGTGGCCAGTTCAGATAAAACAGTAGAAGTCAAACCAGGAATGAAATCTCGGTGAGTTTTGCTCTTCTTTTACTGGATTCATCTGATTACCATTACCAATTGACTGAATCCATTTCTCTATAATATCTTTATTTGAGCATCCAAAATTTTATTTTTTTCTGGACAGGGCCATTTTACCATATATTTATACATTGGGAACAGAAAGCCTATTATGCTGTGTCCATGACAACAGCTAACAGGGAAGATTAGGATCAATTAGATTAGGTAAAGAATTCCTGATGAGTATTTTACTGAAAAACAGTTACTGTAGAAGCCATAACAGATGAATAAAAGCAATTGTTTTCATTTCAACAGCAAGCTAGCTATATTCTAGAAAATGTTCGAGCCATTGCCTGCTCCCCCTTTTGGAGGGTGGGGGAGACCTGATTTCTCCCTAACCCTGTTTTAATACTGTAATGATCATATCTGCTATGATCTTGTTTTTCTCTCTTGTATGAGAACTGATTCTCATAACAGCCTAGCAGATAGAGCAGTCTTTTGCTTGGGAAAATTTTTAGAAATGTCATTCTCGGTTCTCTTTGCCCTTTAAGAAAGAATTCTAAACAGCTGGGCATTTTATGCCAAATGTAGGGCCAAAAGAATCTTATATATCAGAACAGCCTCTGAGTGGAGGTTGTGTTTGCCATTTTCATCTATTATAAAGCAATAATAGTTGAAAATAAACCAATAAATAGTAAGCTTTATTGAGAAGGACATTTTTTTCTAACAACAATTTATTCCTTAGCTTTTTATCTTTTACCTTAAAATGGTGTGAATTTCTCTCTGTTGTAGATTTGTGGATTCTCGTGAAATGGCTGAGGCCTTCCCCTACCGAACAAAGGCTCTTTTTGCTTTTGAAGAGATTGATGGTGTGGATGTCTGCTTTTTTGGCATGCACGTGCAAGAATACGGATGGGATTGTCCACCTCCAAACACAAGGTCTTGCTTTGCTTCCTTCCAAACAAAGGAAGGATTCTGGTTATTCAGTCTCCACCAGGCTGTTCTAGTTGTGGGGAAAATTAGATGAAGTGCTTTCTATTTGTATATCATTTTATTGCCTGCCTCGGTCTTGAAGGACATGAGGCAGTGTATAAATCTGAAGCGTAAATAGATAATAGTACGTCAGTAGGAAACAGTAAGCCAGTCTGGTGCCAGTAATGCCAGACAATCCATTCCCAAACATCTTTGGAAGGCCATGAAAGTCTCCCCGTTCCCCTTGGGGGACAGGTTGTTCCAACAGAGATGAGCCAAATAGAATGACTGTTATTATGTCCTATCCCTCTGAGGGACTTTTGGCAGGGGTGCCTAATCGTCCAAACCAAGAGTGGGAACTGTGTCTCCTAGATAGCCAGGCCTCGTTACATAGGTCCTTAAAGGTGGTGACCAGCAGTTCAGATTTCATTCAGAAACAAGCATTTACCAGAGTGATAAAATGTGGCAATTCTGAAACAGCCTAATAATTGGGAGAGCTGATGCATTTTCAATCAGCTGAGGTTTCCAGATGGTCTTCAGGGGCAGCCCTATGTCAGATGAATTACAGTAATCCAACTAGATAGGATAGACAGGATAGCAATAGCACTTAGTCTTACAATACCGCTCCATAGTGCTTTACTGTCTGAGCGGTTTTCAAAGCGGTTCTGCTGACCTTGCAAGGCTGAATCGACTTCCAGCCCATCAGGATTAGACTCCAGGCAGAGTTTGCCTGCAATGTTGCATTCTAACTGCTGTGCCACTATGGCTCAAGATACAAGTTAAAGGAGCAATTATTCAACCACTGAATTTTCTTTCCTTTTTTCCACAGGCGTGTGTATATCTCCTACTTGGACAGTATCCATTTCTTTCGCCCAAGATGCCTCCGGACTGCTGTTTATCATGAAATCCTTATTGGGTATCTGGAATATGTCAAGAAACTGGGGTGAGTGTTCTGCCAGGACCTTTTAGCAGTGGACATCTTGATGGTCCTGACTTAAATGTGACGTGCATTCCTCTGAGTGGAAACAGGTGGAATTTGTTATATCCCTCTAACTTCTTCAGGGTCAGTCAGGACATTTTCCTTGCACTGGGAAATGGAAAAGCAAATGCCAAATGAGATTGGGAAGCATAGTTGAGAGGCCAGGGAAAGATGTCAGGGGATACTAATTTCATAGTAGACATAAAAAGAATCGTAAGCATTTCTCTGTATGTGTCTTGATTCTCCATTCTTCAAACACATTCATTCATTCACCCATCCTTCCTTTCTGATTTACACATACTTTTTCCAACTCAGCTTCCCCCTTCTGATGCTGCAGCAGCCATTCAGATTGATGCAGGTATTGTGCTTTCTGTGGAGAGAGAGAAAGCACTCACTGCAAGCAGAGTGAAATGAGCGCAGTGTAAGTTAGACATTAGGAACAAAATCAGTCACTTGGAAAATTGCTCTTTGCTGTCTTCCTCCTTTGATCTCATTGGATTATCTTGATTTCCCTGCAGCAAGCTACAGTGAGAAGGGGAAGGGCGGGGAGAGGCGGACCAGCCAGAAATGCAGACCTCAACACTCCTGTCTGTCCTGTAGACTGTCAGTTCCTAAACACCTCATAGTAGTCTTCCTATATTGTGCATGGTAATTTTCTCTTCAGGTTAAACAATTCACACATTCCAAAAATATGTACAATTGTGTAGGCAAGTGTTAATGTTTCAGCTTTCTGATGTGAAACTCAGTGGAACTCTTAGTTTTCATATAAGTCATGCTCTGTATGTTGTTCATTGAGACTTATACAAAACATAACGTGTGAAAATCCCAGAAATTTATGGGAAATAAACTTACGGGCAGCTCTCTTTCCTGCTGTTAACTAAAAAAGCTTGAATAGCTTGTAATATTGACATTTTCTTTTTGTATATATGAAAGGCTTTCTAGTGCAAGAAGCTCACAGCTTTCTAATGAATAATAAGAAATAACATTCTTGTAGCACAAACTAACTTGATATTTTATTTGCATAAAATGGTTCAAGATTTGATCATTGTTATGAAAAGTGTGTGTGTGTGTGTGTGTGTGTGTGTGTGTTTTGTATAAAATGCCTGCTGTTCTACCTCCTGTGTATGTTAAAATGTCTCAAATCTATGCCTCAATGTGGTACATTTAAACATCCAAACTGCCATTAGAGGTAAAGCAGTTAAGTGGAAATTCTGGGCAAGCTGCCCTATTGAATCTTGCAGAAGCTTGTGTGCTTGAAGCTGATTTTTCCATTTCTTGGGAATGGGATAGAAAAATAAGAACCATATACATATTAACCCAGTTTCTTTTTACCATGTAAGCTCAGTACAGCTTTCTGAGTTGAGTTTTGTAGGATGCAATTTGTCACTTCCTTCCATCCCAGGAATTATTGAAGAGACTACAATTGACAGAATACCTGGAGTAATTCCTTGGGCAGATGCAAGTGGAAAGTGATTTTCCCCTCTTTTTTAAAAAAAAAAATGTAAGATATTTATATTTTGCCTATTAACCTTAAAGAACTTGAGGTTAGGGTTGTTTCTGGTATTTTTGAATTAAAATCAACCAGAGAACACTACATTTATTTCCTTCCTTTTAGCACAATACATAAGGCAATTATCAGTTAAGCATGACAACAGTAAAAAAAAATAAGTAGGAAGCCACCTGTGAGAGAAAACAAATAAGAACCAGTTATATTGGGTGTAGAATTTATTGGATTTGGGTCTTTTCCGATTCCAAAGAAGGGGGAGTTTTTTTATTCCAGGAAGTGGATCCAAGATTATTCAAAGAGAACATGAAGAAAATAAATTCTGTGGCCTATAAACTTTATAAACCAACAAACTTACCTCAGTGCTTGGGCACTGGGTTAAATAGCTCAAATAGCTCTGTATTTTCTTTGGATTAAAACATTAAAATTGTTATTAAAATATTGCCAATGCTGTTGTGCTGCAGGATCTGGAAACAGCTGGAGATTAATGTCCTTCCCAGTTTGGGTTTCTTTGTAAGATCATCAAACAATCAAGATGGCATATAGAACAAGTTAAAATCAGAATACAACAATATAAGATGAATTAAATAGCAAATTACCACACAGTGAATGCCCAAATTTAATATTGGTATAGATTGACAGTCCTAGTTTTGCAGGCCCAGATCCCATCTTTATGACCTCCACAGAGAGCAACATGGGTAGGGCTTCACAGACTTCAGGGGAATGCTGCTTGTGCAAGCAGGGTCAGCTCTTTTTTTTTTTTTAAGGTACTGTATCAACAGTGGTTATAGATTCAAGAGGCATATGGAGGTATGAATGAATGATTGAGTGTAAGTGCTGGTTATCTAAATATTATTTCTACTGCAGTTGAGCAGTTAGGATGGCTGCCTCCAATTCTGGACAAAACTATTACTTAACTGGGATGTCTTGCTTGTGTGAAACTCACAGGTATGTGACGGGCCACATCTGGGCCTGCCCACCAAGTGAGGGTGATGATTACATCTTCCATTGTCACCCCCCTGACCAAAAAATCCCCAAACCTAAACGTCTGCAGGAGTGGTACAAGAAGATGCTGGACAAAGCCTTTGCAGAGCGGATCATTCATGATTACAAGGTGAGGATTTCGTCAAAGAGAACCTGGAGACATTAGCATGTAGGCAGCAGTCCTCTCTCCCAGGGGCGGGTTTCAAAATCCGTCACTACCGGTTCGCTCGATGCATGCACAGAAGCGGGAGGGCAGAGCCTCCCGCCCCCGCCACTACCGGTTTGCCCAATCCAGGGCGAATCGGTAGCAACCCACCACTGTTCTCTCTGCAGTCGAAAGGAAAATTGATAATTAGGATGGCTACAGTTCTAGAAGCAAATCAGTCATGCTTTTCTAGATCTCTGTCAATCCAAAATTAAGCACCAACATTTATCTTAAGTTTGGCTAAAGCAAAGGCATTGGCTGTGTAAATATGCTTACAATCATAATAAAACACAGAAAACTACTTTAAACCATCCTTTGTTTAAACCAAATGAGAGTATAGTAAGATAGTTTCAATTTATGTGATGTTTGTTGACTCCTATATTTTTGCCATTGCTCTTAGCTGTACCATTAACAACACCATGTAATCTTTTTTTAGGATATCTTCAAACAAGCAACAGAGGATCGGCTGACAAGTGCCAAGGAGTTGCCCTACTTTGAGGGTGATTTTTGGCCCAATGTATTAGAAGAGAGCATAAAAGAGCTAGAACAGGAGGAGGAAGAAAGAAAAAAGGAAGAAAGCACAGCAGCTAGTGAAACAATAGAGGTGACTAAATTCATGGGGGATGTGGCCACAGTATTTATGTGAGCTATGTGAACCACAAATTCTTTCAATCCACCAGAACTGTGAGTTACATGCCAAATTTCCTTTTAGAAGACCAAAATGGTACACAGGGGAGGCTCCCTTCATTTTAACCCCATAGCAAGAACCTGTGAGAGAGTTTGTGCAAGGAGAGACTGATCCAGTTGACTGAAGATCAAAATACAATTTGGTTTGTTTTGCATGGTGGTGTTTCTGATGTTCCAACTGTTCCAATAATAGATTAAGATTTAATTTGTAGCTTCTACTTAGGGTTCCCCTGCCCCCTCAATATGGTTGCACAAGCCCATCGTGGATTGATTATGCTGATAGTTTAGACTGGAAAGCAGGATGTAAAGAGTTTTGTGCTAGAGCAACACAGCAGAGAGCCTTGCTTGCCTGCCTCTGTTGCCATTTTTAAATTATTTGCTGAGGGAAAGGAGGAGGTGGATCTTTTTAATCCCACCTTTATTATTTTTATAAATAACTCAAGGCAATGAACATACTTAATACCACCTTCCTTCTATTTTCCCCACAAAAACCCCGTGAGGTAGTTGGGCTAAGAGAAAGTGGCTGGCCCACCCAGCCGGCTTCCATGTTTAAGGTGGGACTAGAACTCAGTTCAGATGAGTGGGTTAAATGCATGTTTCATGTTTACTTTTTGTTGTAGGTAAGTAGCCTGCAAAAGAAAGCAGGTCAAGAATGTTTTTTTAAAAGGAAGATGCATACAAATATTATTATGACTATTACGTTAATAATTTTGGTTTGTTTACTGGACTTTGCACTATATTTATATTCTGTTCATGCTCTTGTGGCCAATTAACATTAAATTTCTGGAATAGTTGACAGTATATATATATATTTGGTTCTACAATATTGATATTCATGAAAGAGTAAAGCAGTACTTTACTTCAGTTTCATTTTTTGCAGCTGCAAAACACAGGTAGGCAGCAAAGAGAACCAGTTCAGTTAAAATGAAAGAAAAACCATGTAATCCATTGGGATTTTTTTTGTTTTAATTATCACCGTGGCCAGTTTTTCTGAACTCGATAGGCCAAAGGTAGCACAGGCTGCTCCCTCTGTCCCATACAAGGAAGAAGGTTACTTCTGCAGTTAAAGGACTGTTGAGTCCGCAGTCCTACTGAGATGTGTGTATTCCTGAGAGGTGTACAAAAAATCAAAAGTATTATTGTGGGGAACCACTTTCGTTTAGCTTGTCTGATTTTCCCTTGCCCATTCCTCCTAGCAAGCAGGTGTTCTCTTCACACATGCCTTGAAAGAGGAACAGTTGAGTAGCTTCCTGATGTTTTAACAGGGAAGCCAGGGTGACAGCAAGAATGCCAAGAAGAAGAATAATAAGAAAACAAATAAGAATAAGAGCAGCCTTAGCCGAGCCAACAAGAAGAAACCCTCCATGCCTAACGTGTCAAATGATTTGTCTCAGAAGTTGTATGCCACAATGGAGAAGCATAAAGAGGTACTATGGTCAAGCCCTCCTCATTTCCTTTTCTTCACCCACATGTGCAAAGTTTAATGTTACAAAAGAAAGAGGGAGGGAAATAGACCACATTAAGTAATGTGGTACCTTGGCAACTTGGCAGTTCTTATTGGTGGAGATTGTCTTGTGCTCACCTCTTCCTTTGCCTTCACATGGCAGGTCTTCTTTGTGATTCACCTGCACGCGGGGCCCGTCATCAACACCTTGCCCCCCATTGTGGATCCAGACCCATTACTTAGTTGTGATCTGATGGATGGCCGGGATGCCTTCCTCACTTTAGCGAGGGACAAGCACTGGGAGTTTTCCTCACTACGTCGCTCCAAGTGGTCCACTCTGTGCATGCTTGTGGAGCTGCACACCCAGGGGCAGGATCGCTTTGTTTATACCTGCAACGAGTGTAAACATCATGTGGAAACACGGTGGCATTGCACAGTCTGTGAAGTAAGTATATGTTGCCTGCTTTGATGCTACTCCAGGTTTGAATTGGTTTGCAACCTGTCTCTTCTTTTCTACAATACTTTTAAAAATAATATATGTTTATGATTAATAAGACATATAATAACTGTGGGGCCAATTATTATGATTTGAGCATTAGTTTTACAAAGCCATAGTAACACTTCTCCATGTGGGAATTCTATAGGAATCCTATTTTCTGAGTAAGGCTGTTCTGTATTAGTGGCCAGTGGAGTTCTTCATTATGGTCTTGATAATTGAATTACTTATTAATAGAACTAAAACTGTGACAGATGGAATGCCTCAGGTACATGCATCTAGCTTCACAAACTCTCCCTATTCTTTTATGCAGGTGAACCATGCATGCATACTTTCTCACATTGTAGGTTGTTGATCTTGGTGTCTCTCACTTTGCTTTTCAGGATTACGACCTCTGCATTAACTGCTACAACAGCAAGAGCCATGAGCATAAGATGCTGAAGTGGGGCTTGGGCCTGGATGATGATGGGAACAGCCAAGGGGAACAGCAATCCAAGAGCCCCCAGGAATCCCGTCGGCTCAGCATCCAGCGATGTATTCAGTCTTTAGTGCATGCTTGCCAGTGCCGCAATGCAAATTGTTCGTTGCCATCCTGCCAGAAGATGAAGCGTGTTGTCCAGCACACCAAGGGCTGCAAGCGCAAGACCAATGGAGGCTGTCCTGTGTGCAAACAGCTGATCGCCCTTTGTTGCTATCATGCCAAACACTGCCAAGAGAACAAATGCCCAGTGCCCTTCTGCCTCAACATCAAGCATAAGCTTCGGCAGCAGCAGATCCAACACCGTCTGCAGCAGGCGCAATTGATTCGCCGCAGGATGGCAACCATGACCACCCGAAACGTGCCTCAGCAGAATTTGCCTTCTCCTACCTCAGCAACGCCTGGGACCCCGACACAGCAGCCAAGCACCCCACAGACTCCCCAGCCCCCTCCTCAGCCTTCCCCCGTTAGCATGTCACCAGCTGGTTTCCCTACTGTAGGAAGAACGCCGGCACCCCCTCCCATTTCAGCGGGCAAGCCTTCCACCCAGGTGGCTGCTCCGCCTCCACCTGCCCAACCCCCGCCAGGAGCTGTGGAAGCAGCCCGGCAGATTGAAATCGAAGCAGCCCAGCAGCAGCAGCAGCAACAGCAGCAGCAGCAGCAGCAGCAGCAGCAGCAGCTCTACCGGGTGAGCAGCAATGGCTTGCCTCCAGGCCGAACAGGGATGGTGAGCACAGCAGTGGGGGCGGTGAATCCCATGCAGCAGGCTGGCATGAACGTGCCCCGGCCTAACTCTGTCAGTGGCCCAATACTGCCCAATCTGCAGCCTGGGCAGTGGCAGTCATCAGCTCCGGTGCCCCCACAGCAGCCAGGAATGCCAAGGCCAGTCCTGCCCATGCCTGGCCAACAAACAGTAACTGGCCCAAGGATGCCAGGCGTGCAGCCACCAGCCCGAACGATTCCTCCAAATGCTTTGCAAGAGTTACTGCGGACTTTGAAATCTCCCAGTTCCCCGCAGCAGCAGCAACAGGTGCTGAATATTTTGAAGTCAAACCCACAGCTCATGGCAGCTTTTATAAAGCAGAGAACAGCCAAATACGTAGCAAACCAGCCTGGCATGCAGCCCCAGCCAAGCATTCAATCCCAAGCAGGCATGCCACAGACTCCAAGTCCACTGCAGCAGCCGCCTCCACCAGCAGGGTTGCATACTCAAACAGGCCTGCAGAATTTGAGTGCACTGCCAGCAGGTGTCCCGCGACCAGGGGTCCCTCCCCAGCAACCAGCCATAGGAGGCCTGGCTGCCCAGGGCCAGTCAATCAGTATCATGAACCCAGCTCACAATCCGGCTATGGCCAACATGAGTCCTCAGTACAGGGAGATCTTGAGAAGACAATTACTGCAGCAGCAGCAGCAAGGAGGAGCTGGGCTGGCCACTCACAGCCAGTTCCCACAGCCTCCAGGCCCTGGAGTTTATGCCCAAGCCATTCAGCAGCAGCGGATGCAGCAGCAGCAGCAGCATCTTTCAATCCAAGCAGGGGCCATGGGGCAGCTAGCTCAGATGGGACAGCTGAATCCTATGGGGCAGCCGGCCATGGGAGCTGATGGCAGCCCTAACATCCAGCAAGCTCTGCAGCAGCGACTCCTGCAACAGCAGCAGCAGCAGCAGCAGCAACTTAAACCACAGATGGGCTCCCCAGGCCAACCAAATTCCATGAGCCCCCAACAGCATCTGCTCTCAGGACAAGCCCCCACGTCCCACCTCCCTGGCCAACCAATCAACGCCTCCCTCAGCAGTCAGGTGCGCTCTCCGGCACCAGTTCAGTCCCCCAGGCCCCAATCCCAGCCATCACATTCCAGCCCATCCCCCAGGATACAGCCCCAGCCTTCTCCTCACCATGCCTCACCCCAGACTGGCTCACCTCACCCTGGGTTGGCTGTTACAATGGCTGGCTCCATGGAACAGGGACACCTGGGCAACCCAGAGCAGAGTGCAATGCTTCCCCAGCTCAACCCCCCAAATAGGAATGTGTTACCAAATGAGCTGTCCCTGGTTGGTGATACCACAGGAGGTGACACACTAGAAAAATTTGTGGAGGGCTTGTAGCATCCCATAGTTTCTCTCATGTTCCTGGACTTCTTGAACTGAAAAAGACTTGCAGCTCGAGCTAAACCCTAGATGGGACTGATTCATCCTCTACCTGTGAATGGATGAATGGCTGTTTAAAAAAAAGAGAATATATATTTTTTGTTAAAGCCAGCCAGGTGTGGTTAAAATATCTGGTTTCCTTGTTGTGGGTTTTTTTTTAGTTGTTATCGTTGACTTTACTTTTTTAAACGGGAAAATGAGTCCATTATATTCATATTTTTATTTGTACTTTCAAGACTAAGCAGTGGTGTTTAGCAGAGGAGAAAAATATTCACATTCTAATGTATCTTGCTACGTTTCTGACATTTGGCAGAAAGTTTTGTTTTGTTTTAGTCTTATTCTATTCTGGATTTTGCAAGTATCCTAAGTATTATTACCCCTGGGAAAGATAGGAACTGACTCTTGCACACACAGACACACATTGCAGATGTAGAAATTGTTGCCTGTTTCTCTGATAAAACTGGTTTTAGATTTAAAAAAATAGGGACACTCACTACTTAAGACATATTAATTTTAACAGGGAAGAAGTGTATTCTGTAATTCTTTGATGTGAACTTGAACTGAGGAAAAGCAATTACAGTGTAAATCATGCAAACTATAATTACTATAAATATGAACAATTCAAGATTCAATCACTGTATAGAGGGGGGAACAAACTCATTTCTTACTTCTATAGCATATTGTTAAATAAACTGTGTGCAACAGACAAAAGGATGTCCTTTAATTCATGTACATGGTATTAACTTAGTGTTTGGATTTTTTGTTATGAAAATGTTGTTTTCAACATTGTATTTGGACTATGCATGTCTTTTTCCATTGTATATAAAGTATTGCTTAAAAGTGATATAAATTACTGAAGTTTTTAAAATGTTTCTGTCGTTTAAAATCCATGTAATATTGTCAGTTTGTATTTGATTGTGTGCCTGTGAGAGTATAGGGATATAGATTTGAGTTCATTGAAAAGCATCCAGTAAGGAAGTAATACTCATACTTGGCTGCTGTACTAATTTATAATTTACAGAAAGAAATTAGAAGTATTCGCTTTTTAAAAACACATTTTGGGGAAGGAGCACCAGTTTGACTGAAACAGATGCTTCCTAAAGTAAAATCAAAGTACAAGGTTTTCTGTGCAATAACAATGAAGAAATTACACAACAGAATCAGTAGGGACAAGGCCATCTCCATTGATTTTCTCAGCCTGATCCTATCTACGATGTTCCATCTAAGGATGGCTATAGTATTTTTGAGGGGAGCAAAATTGGGCTTCTTACTTTGCCTCATACATTAAACAATCACTAAAAGGTACATGATGGGTTTTGTCAGGTACCATAACTGACAAATGTATCTAATGTATTAGTTTCAATGTAACTGAAAATACCACATAGGTTGTACACTGTAAATTCAGAGAAATCCTTCCTCCTCAGTGTGGTGGTGGTTGAATGTAAGTCATGTAAAACCTTAGATAGGGGCATGACATGTTAATGTTTATTTCTTTAATAAACACAGCTGCCCATCTAATATACATGACTGGGCAGTAACAGTTAAAAATATTGCAATGTGGGACCAGTCATACCTTAAAAAGATTTGTTCACATTTACTACATAAAATAATTTCTTGCTTTTTTAACAGTGGGAAAGTAAGAAATGAAATAAAAGACATAATTTAAGCAGTCCAAAAGAAGATATGCATTACCATCTCCATATGCAAGTATTAACAGTTCTGGTCCTCAGTCCTCCCAAATCTTGTGAGAAGTAAGAATTTAGAATGTGTTCAGTAAAAATGTGCCCTCTCACATCGCATCATCTTGTTCTCTTCTTCCCAGTTTTGTATTTTTTTACACCACACCTCCTGGGAGACTATTTTGTAGTAAATTACTTGCGCGGTACTCTCAAACGACATAAACATAAAAGTTGTCTTTGCAAATGAAGTATGCTTTTTCCTCCTTCGCCAGCCAGCCATAGGGAAAAGGTAGGGCGAAGATACTTCTAGGCCTTAACCGGTCATCCCACCAGGCATGCTGAAATCATTTCTCAGGATTGGATGCAAGTGACCAACTCTTGACATCAAGCATCTCCTCAAAATCTTCAATTTGGGCAACAAGGCAATTTTGACTTAACCAAACTAAGTATGACCATCCCCCATCAGCTGCAGTCTGAGAAAAGTCTGCATTTAAATCCATCTTTTATTACCAAATAGGGACTACCCATATCTAAGTCAACGAGAAAGTGGACTGCCCCTGTCCGAAGCTGCTCTTGGAATGCAGGCTATCCACTGTCCAAAGTTTGGCTAAAAGGGATCAAACTCGCTTCAAACCCCAACACAAATTATTTTCCCCCTGCTGCCGCCCAAAAAAGGATTGAGCAAAGAAAAAAATATAAACAAAAAAAAGGAGAAGAGGCAGCTGACTGGAAAGTTGCAGAGGAAAAAGCCTCCAGGAGTTCACATTCTGGAAGAATATCTAATAGCCAAAGGGCTTAGTATCACCTTTGCCCCTTTTTCTTGCATCTATGGAGGTGTTTTTTTTCTCTCCGAGCTTCTGCATTGGTAAACGTGATGCAGTTGGCATCCAAAAAGTCCAACAACTTGTCCAACGCAATCCTTACGCCATTTTGCTTCAGTTCTGCATGCAGTACAGACAGTTCAATGGGCTGATATAGCAGAATTTGCTGGCAAAGAGATGGATTGGAATGAATATAGTGCTTCAAGATTTCCAGCTTCTGACCCTCACCGCTAGCAGCAATCGAAGAGGCTGGTACATTTCCTTCTTTCTCTGCCAGCATGCTGACTTTAAACTCCACGGATGAACTAGGAACAGGATGAGAAAGGAAAAAGCATTAGGATACCTAGACAATCTCTTAAATTTACCTTACTTTTGAAAAAGGTGGGTACCTGGTATAACTCAGGCCAGAACTACTCACATCCACTACACAGCATCAACACAACCATTCCCCAAATTAAGGCTGGCTAAGGGTAGAAAATATGGCTGGCTGAGGATGGGGTGGGCAGGTGATTTTCAAAGTTTTTGCCTTCATTCCTCAGTATCTGATGATGCATGTCAACAGCCTAAAAAATCAGAATGGAAAAACGAACACTCTCCTTCCAGTCTGCCCCTATACCTTTGAGATGCTGCATAAGTCTCACTTCCAGCTCTTCTTGTGCCAGCTGGCACTTCAGAAGTTGTCAGGATTAGGTCTCCATTGCCCTCTCCATCAGTTGCTCTGTTTGTAGGAAGAGCAGCTCCCTTTGGCCACCCAAGTCCAGCCTCTGGCTTTTGAGCACCTCCTTCAGAGAGATCTGTATGGTTAGTCGTATTTGGGCTCCCCTGAAGCAGTCGATAAGGGGACAGACATTTTTGCTGCAGTTTCTGAAAGGAACTGGTAAAAACTGGCATAGATTTTTTCTTAGAGTCTGTTCCTGCCTGTTGGTGAGTAAACTGAAAAATTTCCTTCAGTTTTAAAACCATCTGCCGTTTTGGGAGAGCACGGACACCAAATCTAAGGAAAAAGGAAGCTAAATCACAATTCGCAAGCAAGCACAACCTGTACGGTATTTCTGTAAATTCTTGCCTACAGAAGGAGACTGCTTCAATCCCAACAGCACCAACCTGCTCAATTCCTTCTTCAGTTCTGGGGTGTCCATGCTTGAATAAGGTGGAAAGGGCATGAGCGGAGTAACGCAAGAGATGTCCCTGGCTTGCAAGGCAAGATCTGTAACCGATCAAAAGGGAACTGAATCAAATCAGCCACATGGTCTATATTCTGTCTGCTGCAAAACCTGTCTATCACCACTATATATACTACACTGGTTATTAGTCCACAGTAAAATCATCCCAAACCTCTGGGAAGACAGCTGTCAGATACTAATCCCCATCAGGCACACTTTTTTTAAATTAAAAAAAGCTCAACAGTTAATTAGAAAAGTGCTTTAGAAGGACAAAGCCAAAACTGTATTTCTAGACTGTTGCTTCCCTTCCAGAATCTACAGGAAATAGGACTCATCCAAAGATCCCTGTCTTTTGCAAAACCCGATATCCAATGAAGCTTAGCCAGGATTCTGGTCTGCAAGGATTCTGGTCTTGTGCTTCAGTGTAATCATTTATTGAGCTTCAGAGGACTCAACTTACTTAAAGTGGCAGGAAAAGGGCTCCCATTTTTTGAGTCATGTTACAAAGCAACTGTCAAAGAAGTTGTCATAACTGACCCAAAGCAACAACTTACCAGAAATCTTTGGAACAGGTATGGAAGCAGACAAACTTGAGCTGGCAGGAAGAGCTACATTGCTGTCAAAGTCTTCTCCAGGCCAATTCTGAGAGTTGTGCAGTAGCAAATCTCCCACTCCAAAATGGAACGTGGCTGCTGAATTAGTTACACTACTAGCAACAGTCACAGGGTGATTGTTCTGCATGTCAAACATGTGGACAGAAGTCCTCAAAGGATTTCTGGCATTTGCAGTTATTGCCTCCAAAGGTTCTACAAAGATGCCCCTTGAACATAGCGGCACTGCTTCCTGCTCCTCCTCACTGTCATCCACAACCACCACATCTCTCTCTGCTGCACATAGGCCATTGTCAGGTTTCTCTATTTCAAGCAAAGAGGTAGATGAAAGCACCGGCAGCAGTTCATAGCTGCAAGACAACGGTTCTGTCTGGGCTTCATGAGTCCATTGCTTTTCAAGGGAAGAATTCAACCTGGATTTTTCGACCTGCACATCATTCAAGCTATTCCAGGCTGCCAGAGGAGTTTCAGGCACCACCAATGTCCTTCCTTCACTCCAGCCTAAACCTTCCCAGAAGCTGCCTTCTTTGTGACCACTCGGGTCCAAGGGCTGATGGCATTCACCCAAAGATTGTGCCTCATTACAAATTAATGTGCCCAATCCATCTCCCACTTTACTTACATCCTGCTGGGGAGGGGCTGGGCTCCAGCAGTTTAGGACATCAGCAACAGGGCTCTCTTTATGCCATGACTGTTGCTCAGAGAAGCTTGAAGCAGCCTCTGCCAGTTTCTTTTCTGCCTCCCGTTCCAGCTCTTCATCAGAATCCAGTACTACAATATGGTTACTCGTAATATTCAGATCCTGAGGATTTACCGCACCAGACTTCTCTAGGCTGCCGATAGGAGCCTCTCCCTTCCTGTTTGTATTCTGTTGCTTTTCATTTTGAGAGGGAAGCCTATCTAATATGTTTGGCTGTGATCCAGATGTTATTGGAGAGAAAGGAACTTCTAGGTCTCTTGGCAAACTCATCTGGAGATCTTTTGCTGGCGCTTGAAAAAGCCTTGAAAAATTTCTTGCTGTAGTTTTATCTTTGGCTATGTTAATATTCTGCTTCCAGACAGAACAACATTTCATTTCTGAGACAGAAAATTGGGTTGCAGACGTCTCGAGATGATTACTATGAGTAGAATCCCCAGCTAACCCGAGATGAATCTCACTTGTGGGTTCTTTTCTACTACTTGCTCTGAAGGACACTATTTCTTTCAAATTTTGCTGGAACTCAACAGAATACTTTTTCAGATCTTTTCCCATGCTGGCAATAGAGGTTCTCAATTTGGATGACTCGTGATCACATTTTATTTCACTTTTCTTAATTGTCACACCTCTTCTGGGCTTCTCCAGCACCTTTCTTGGGCAAGAACCACCATCTTGGCCAATCTTCTTTTCCACTTCATCACATCTATATTCAGTGCAGACCTTTTCCTTCCTGGCTTCATCAGAGGTCATTCTGCGCTGAGTAGCCACAAACTCATAAATCTCCTCTAATTCCTGCTCATTCATACTGTCACTGATTTCATCTCTGCATACAGCTTTTGCCACAGTTTCCTCATCTTCATCCTGCCACATGGATTTCAAAAGTTCTTCAAAATCTCCAACTTTGTCTTTATCATCAGCTGGCTTTTCCACAGATATCTCTTCACTAGGTTGGCCTTCACACAGAGCAGCCAATTCTTTCACTCCAAACCTGCAAACATACGAATATACATAAATGTTCTTTCTCCTCTCTGGGTACAATGCATGGTATAAAATAATGTAATCCTTACTCATGCTTCATACAGCAAACCAAAATGAGCTCTGTTCAAAACTGTCATACGGTAAATTTCATAATGATTTACAACCAACTAAATACTCTGAAGCATCAACACACCGACCTTATTGCTAGGTCAATCACATCTGACAGCAAATGTTGGGGTATGAAATATTCAGCTGTGTAGAGGTACTTCAAGAATAGAGCGACAGCATCCCCTGGAGCGTCATATAACAGCACGCGGGAGGCTCCAACTTCTCCTTCTTCAGCCACCACAAAACGTCTGTGATCAACCTGGTAGCAGAACAGAAAAAGACACCAATCTCTGCAGCAGCAATCATAACCGAAGGCTCCTTCCCTTCTTCTTTCAAACTTTCCTGACCACATGTGGAAGTTGTTCTATACTGCAGACATTCAACAGCATTAGCACCATAAAAATGGTTTCTAGGTGTGGCAAAGTTTGCCAGTTCATAGGTTTCCTGCCTCAGCAGTTAAAAATACATTTTCATTTTGTACAATACAGGTACATCTTGCTGAATTGGCTTTATTTTGCATTTGCCTATTGTAAGGCATAGCTGGTTGCTGCTTGTAGGAATAACCTTGTTGTAGGATCTCCAGTGAATCCTGCTGCCTACAGCCACTCTTCAAAAGTTTGGTTTATTGGCTGCAGTATAACTGACAAGTGAGATAACTAGTGTATCCTCACTAGTATTTCTCTCCCAAGCGATGCTATTAGAATCAACCTCAAGAGGAAAATTTAGAGATAAGAAAATGGAAAAAGTCCACAAATGTGGATCCATAATAACACTCAAGCATGAACAATGTTAAAATGTTTTCTACATACAGCCCCTAAACATGTTATGGCTACTTACAAATTGTAAAAGTTGAGGACACCGTGCATACAATACAAACATATGGGCATAAAAGACTTCCCCACTATCCACCTGGATCTGGATATCACTCAAATGAGGGTTATTGACCATCTCCTTGAAGGCAGCAGCCAGTGAGCCAAGAGGGAACTAAAAGAAGAAAGAAAGAAAAAATCAAGCTCCTCTTTCACAGCCCACTGGCAGAGAGATGATGTTAAATTTCTCATTAAAAACTTAAGTCTTCCATTTAAAAAGAAGGTTTGGGAGAAGGACTGCCAGCAAGTCACACACACATTCAGCTTAGTCCCAGAACCTTTAGAAGTTCTCTATTTGGCAAAAAGGAAATGAGGGTATTTTATATTACATAGAGATCCAATTACTCTTTTGCTGCTGCCGCCAAGCAATTGTACAGCTTGAGGTACTGAGTTTGGATGGACGCTCAGTATTATTCCTCATCCAAATACACTTTGCGTACAATTCTGTCCTTACTGTTTCACAAGAGCATTTTTGAGATAGTTGCTGCTGCTGCTGCTGCTGCTTCTCCAACAACCGAGTAAAAGCCTTTTGCTGAACACCTGGCATCTGTTCTTGTTCTACAAAAAATCATCACCATCATCATTAATATAAACCTGGCCTAAAATATTGCCACTGTTACATGTGAATACAAATAAAACATGTTGGTTATATCGTGGCTTTGTTCCCTTCCTGTTGGTCTCAGATACCACTGATTCCTTTAAGTGGGGATAAGATTTAGCAGAGTTAACATCTTTTTAGGCCAAGACAATTCTGCACACAGAACCACAGCTCCAAAAATAAACATTTGTGGAGATTTTTTCTCCTATGACACTAATTCCAATAGTCTCCCAGCTATTTACAAAAGGTGAAACTGAAAAGACTGCATTGTTTCCATCAAGATCCAGGGACGTTGCCACCCTTATAGGCAGCCAAGGTCTTTACAGCCCTTTGAACTCCCAGTCAGGGGGGCTTTGGACTCTCCTAGGCCAAGCAGCCTCACCCGGGTGCTCCAGCCGCCCAACATCAAGGCTCCACTGGGTGAACGTGAGTCCTTCCCCGGCCAGCTCCAGGAGATCTTGCAGGGTATCGGCATCTCTCGGACTGCCGGCTTTAAAGCACTCGCCGGTTCTGCTTGGGAAACGCTCCGTCTCTGGAGGCTCCGCTGGCGCCCCGGCCGTGCCGAATTCCGGCCTCTGAAAGGGGAGGAGGCTTCGTGGCAGCCCGGCCGAGACCAAACCGCCACGCGGGGCCGGTCGAGCGGCCGGGCTGAAGCCCTCAACCTGGGCCGCGGGGAGGCGAAATTGGCCTCGGGACGCTCCGGCGTCTCTCCGGGGACAGAAACGCCGCAGAAGAGCGACGGCTCAGCTGCCCCGGAGGGGAAGGGAGGGTCCCCGGAGAAGAGCCCGACGCTTCCCCGCAGCCACGCACCTGATCGGCCCCCCAAGGGGCGACGGCCGGGGCGCCCGTCAACGAGCTCAGCTCCCACAGCCAGCCTCCCGGGCTCGCATTAGCCGGGGCTCCTTTCCAGCGGCTGGCGGGCAGCGGGGGCGTGCGGGGCGCGGCCGGGGCCTCCGAGAGCAGCAGGGCCGCCCGGGCCTCGAGTCCGCGGCGGGCCTCCTCCGGCCCTTGGAGCAGCAGCGGCGGCGGCGGCCTCCCGCGGCCCCTCGCCTCTAAGCGGAGAGCAGGCGGCAGTCAGCGGCTCCCAGGCGGTGACCCCCTCCGCCTCCCACCACCCCCCCCGCGCGTCCCGCCTAACTCACCAGCCCTGGGCCGCTTCCCGCCGGGCCCGGCCTCCAAGCGGGACCTGGCCGGAACCGCCAGCGGTTCCCCGCCCGCCTCCCGCCGCCTCTTCCTCCCGGCCGGCCGAGGGGCGCCGCCTCTCTTGAGCCCGCACTCCGGGGGGACGGGAGACGGCCCGGCGGCGGGAGCAGCGACTGTGCCTGCCCCGCGCGCCGCCGCCCCCCGCCGCCGCCCCGGCGGGTCCCGCTGCCGAAACTCGTCCTCCGAGTCGACCATTTTGGCGGCGCAACAGCGCAGGCGCAGCCTTCCCGGCGCCGCGCGAGCTCCCCCTGCCGCCCGGCGGCCGAATTGCCCCAGCCATCTCGTTTGCAACAGCCCCGCGCCGGGACGGAAGAGTCACGTAAAGAAGCAGGATCCGTCTACGACTTTTATTGTACATTTTTTCCGAGACGTCGCACAATTTCTATTGCACCAGGCTGCCCCATCTGGGAAGCCAGGCAGAGAGGTGAAGGCGGCAGCCCCAGGAGGCCGCTGAGCTTCTAGCCCTGGAGCTGGTTCAGTGCTTCTCCAGGGCCCGGGCAAGCAGCTCGTTCAGCCGGTTCACCATCGGCCGGGGGTCTTCGCTCAGTCCTGCCGTTATCATGGCATTGTCATAGATCTGCAGCCAAAGGAGGAGGAGGAGGAGGAGGAGCCAGAGGTGGTCAGAGTCGGAATGCAGCCAGAAAGCGCAGGGCTGGGATCCTGCTCTCGACCAGGAGGGTAAAGAGGAGGTGCCCAGATTCTCCTCTGCCCACTGGGGGCAGCAAGGAGACCTGGCCCTGTTCAGCTAACGTGACTCTTCCCAACTCCCTCATCTTTATGTGCCAGCAGGATCTAACCCAACTATTTCAGCTAATAACAGGAATTTGAAAAGCTATCGTTTCTTATTTTCTGCCCTTTTATTTTTTTTTTCATTCTGGAAGAAAAATGTTTCTGCAGCCAGAGTGGTGCCCTAAGGATTAGCAGCACATAGATGGGCTCGTACCCACCTACTTGACACAAGTGTGAAGAACAAGATAGGGGTAGAAATAAACCTCCTCCCAATACAAAGCAAAATCCACCTCAAAATTAACAATTAGCAAGAAGAGAATTGGTGTTTGAATTTACAATCATTGGAGAAAAAGGGATTACAAGAGACTAAGCAGGGACACTGGGGAATAGTAATAGCACTTAAGATTTATATACCACTTCAGTGCTTTACAGCCCACTCTAGGTGGTTTAGAGAGTCAGCATATTGCAGCAGTCGATGCAACTCACCTGGTCAAGCAGCATTTGGGCCAGGTCAGGCTGCTCAATTCGTAACTGGTTGAGTTTCTTGACTAGTGTATGTCTAGAGAAAAAAGCAACAAAGTAAGAGCTGCAGGCCAGGAAGGAGAAGACCCTTCCCTAAGACATGCCTTCAAAATTAGCCTCAGTCCCCCAGATGACTTCTTTCCTATACCCGGCATTGATCTCCAGCGTGGGTTGCAGGATTTGGGCTCGCTCTTCACTAGTCTTTGCTAGCTGCTGCATGCGCAGGAAGTGGCGGGCAGCACCCATCTCCAGCACTGTGATCATGGCTGGATGTGAATCCAGACGTGGAGTTACCTGTAGGCAACAACACCTTTGAACATGCTCTACATCCCAGAAACTGCCAAGCTTAAACAAATAATTTTCCTCCCTCAGCCTGCTGACTCTAGGCAGACTCACTCCTTCCCTTGCCATTGTGGCATTTCACATGCTGCTGCAGAAGTAGCTGATCACAACCACCAACAGAAATGCCCATTAAGCACAGGCTTCAGAGATCTGAAATGGGGAGGGAGCTCAAGTAGGACTCAGCAATAAGATTCCATCTGCAAGGAGTGCTTGAAGCAGCTTGGGAAAGAGGATGGCTGCTATGGGTGTTCAACAAGTGCGGCAATGGGGCGGGAGGGGCTGTCCAGGCATGCTAGGCACAAGAGCCAGGCTTAACCCACTCCTTCTCTACGCTCTTCATCCCACTGGGGATACGTGGTATGGGAAACACAGCTGTAGCCCAGGCTCCCTAGGACGACACAGCCCGGGGGGGGGGGCTCTACGGCTCCCCCCACCTCACCCACTGAGCATGGCCTCCCTCATCTCTTCACCTTGACAGCGGTGACCCGTGAGCCAAGGGCATTCCTCATCCAGGCCAGGAGATCCTCCACCGCTTGGGAGCTCAGGCGATTTTCAGCTGCAATGGGAGGATGAAAGCAGCATTTTGAGAAGAGAATCGGTGCTCTTTCCAGTCATTCCATCTCCAAAGGGATCTAACAAGCCTTTCCTTGGTCTTTCTACAAGTAACTGATAGCAACTCTTCCTTACTCTCCACACACACCCCTCAAAATCAAAGGCTGACTGACAGCACAATAATGTATTTTCTTCACCACAGCATAAGGCAATCATTTCTGGCCAAGGCAGGCCCTATTGATCAGAAATGATTCCCATTAGGCACCTACCTGAGTGACTTTCCTCAAACTTCTCCTCCTTATAGTGATCAACAGCAATATCTGTCTCTACTGAGATCAGTTTCTTCTTGTCAAACTCTCGTAGGTGCAGAAGAGTCAGCTCATCAAACTGCTTATAGCAGAACAGCACCTGGTTGTCCAGAGAGGGGAGGTGTACGATCATTTAGCTTGGATTATAGATCCCTTGGGAAATTCCCAACCACTAAGCATGGCTAAGTCTCCAGCAATCTTAAAATCCAGTTCCTACCATTTACAGCAAGTTGGTAGAACTGGTGACATCTCATCAGATGGTGAAAGGAAGCCTGAGCAACTATGAGTCAAATATAGTACTCTGAGCTCTTCTCCCATCCCGTGGGAAAAGGGCAGAGCTTCCTGCAGAATGAAGTTGATGCAACAACAGCACCAAATTCTGCTCCAGGTGGGAAACATCACAAACCAAGCACCAATACCGCTGCATCCTCCCCAGAACCCACCTTCACTTTTCTTAGCTCCAGCCTCTGAATCTCTTTGCTCACCTCAACATTTTTCTTCTTTGTTGCTTCATAGTATGGAGAGTGCTCAGCCAAGTTGCGAGAGGGCGTACATAGATAATAGATATTTCTACTGCCAGCTGGCATACGGCTAGCATATTCTGGGAGGCTGGTTAATTGGCCTGGAGGTAGCACTGAGGACTCGTAGCGCAACAGCTTTGCTACTTCCTCCTGGGAGGAAAGTTTTGTCAGTCATGAGGGAAAGGAAGGTAGGTGTGCTTGCCCCCCTTCCCTCCACAACTAGTCCCAATTGGTCTCTCTTATGTAGGGCTCTAATTATCAAAGAAAAGGAACCATGACAGAGGGCTTCAGAGACGTGGGAGCCTCTTTGGTCACTCCCAATACCTTGGCTTCCTGCTCAGCCAGCATGATAATTCCCTCGCGGATAAACAGCCCGTAGTCCTCAAAGAATGTAGCATATTTCTCAGGGTCCTTCTTACTCTGATCAATGAAGAACTTGATCAGCCTCTGTTGCAAAACCTCTCTGAGCTTTCTACACAAGAAGTTCAAACAATAATGCATCAATTAGTAAGAGAAGAAATGGAACAAGAGGATATGACTTTCTGCAAAGCAAAAACTGGCAGTAACTGTGAGGCATTATTTCTCCACAACTCATGCCTGATTTGATCCAAACCATCCCAGCGTTATCAGGATCTCAGGCTGCAAGGGAGAGAGAGTTCCACAAGTGAGCTGAATTGCTAAGTGACATCATAGTAGGTCTGAGTATGTCTGGATTCTCTTTTGATAGACCTCTTCTGTACTTGCTTAGAATGATAAAATATCAAACAAATTGACTCCCAGATAGACAGAAACTACCAGTTTTTATATCAACCATGCTAGGACATCACCTTCAAAAATATTAGGTCTTCAGATTGCAGATTGACAGAGCAAGTTCCAGAGAAGCTGTAAGTCACTGCCCACCAAGACCATTTGAACCAAACTTCTTCCTCACCTGACAAGGATACTGTCTTGAAGCAATTCTCGGCTGAGATTCAAGGGGATATCCTCACTGTCCACAACCCCTGCAAGGGGTTAAATAAAGAGATAAGTTGTGTCCTGCAACAATCCCATCAATCTCCAACCTCTTTCTCCTAAATAGAGCTCTTCTGACTACCTTTCAGGAAACGTAACCATTTGGGTAAAATCTCAGTAGCTTTGGTTAGGATCAGGACCTTGCGAGTGTACAGGGCAACACCAGAGTCTTGCTCCTGGCTCACATCAAACATGGAAGGTTTCTAGGAAGTTATGAAAGAAAGGGAAGAACAGATGGAAATCATAGTTGCAGTGCAAAATCCTTCCTCCTGAGGTGAGATGACACACTGTTACAATCTCCTCACACGTCAGTTTTAGATCTAAGGCCAGCCAAACAAGGCAAGGCTACCCATCCTTCCCACTCACCAACCCTGGCACGTAAAATATGCTGCGGATGTTGAGAGGTGCATCGGTCTTGTAATGCAGGGTATAGCGAGGCTCGTCATATGCGTGGGCGATAAAGTGGTAGAACTCCGTGTGCTGCCAATCTCCAACCTCCTTGGGGTCCATCATCCAAAGGGCCTGAGTGGAGAGAAGACATCCTTAGTTGAAGCTAGCCACATGCCTAAAACAGGAACACCAATGAAGGAGAAAAGGGTGAGTTTCCATGAACGTAGCAGTACTTTGCAGATGGAGCCGGCAGTAATTTTTATCAATCCGAAAAACCACATGAGATCCAAATAATCATAGGGAACAATTAAGTGTTTCTATACTACATGGGTGACAGGGTAGAAAAGCCAGCTGGCATTTCCTCCACAAAGGTCTTCCAGAAGATGCCAGAGGATTGTGGGACGCCTGCTTGCTAATGCCATTTAGCTCAAGGCCAGCTCCGAGGGCCACTCAGTATCTGCTCTACCTGCAGGGTGTTGACACGTTGCCCGTTCAGATAGAGGGGAAAGCCGATGAAGTTGCTATACTTTTTGATGATGTCTAGAAAAGGAAAAAGATGGGCTGAAAACTCTGCCAACTCCCTCTGCTTCCCCAGTAGGGATCTTCATCCATCCAATATGTAATTGGGACCAGGCGCTAATCACAGGCAGCCAGTATACAATTGAAGAAATTCAAAACTGCAGTATGGGACATAATATATTATGTAATGAAGTTTTTTCTGAACTAATTCAATTCTAAAACCCACTCTAAGTGTTGCAATTAAGCTACCAAGTCTTTCATGGCTAGGCACCATCTCCAAAAATATTATTTCCAGTCATCTTCAGAAGCATTACTTGGAGGGCCTGAAATATGCTCCCGCAGAGGCTAACCAGGGCTACGCTGAAGGAATGGGCAAAATTTTAAAAAAAAAACAGATCCTATTAAATGGCAAGGGGTTACACACAAGACATTTTGAAAGCATTCTGCAAAGCATCTACAGCTATTATTTCTTAGTTGGCCAAGCCAAGGGCGTTTTTCCCCAAATTTTCCCCAAACTCAGGCACTGGTCACCTCCTGCCTGGACTACTGCAATGCTCTCTACTTGGGGCTCCCCTTGAGGAGCACCCGGAGGCTCCAACTGGTGCAGAATGCGGCCATGCGGGGGATTATGGGAGCGACGGGGCGCTCCCATGTGACACCTCTCCTGCGTGAGCTGCATTGGCTTCCAGTGGTCTTCTGGGTGCGCTTCAAGGTGTTGGTCACCACCTTTAAAGCGCTCCATGGCATGGGACCTGGGTATTTGCGGGACCGCCTTCTGCCGCCGATAGCCTCCCACCGACCAGTACGCTCCCACAGAGAGGGACTCCTCAGGGTGCCGTTGGCCAGGCAATGTCGGCTGGCGACCCCCAGGGGGAGGGCCTTCTCTGTGGCAGCTCCTGCCCTCTGGAACGATTTGCCCCTGGAGATACGAAGGATATCGGATCTCCGGGGTTTTCGCCATGCCCTAAAAACGTTTCCATCAAGCAGGGCTGGCATGAAACCCCTCCCCCCCCTTTTTTTAGTCTTTTTAGCTTTTTAAATTGTCAAATGGGTTTTAGTTTTCAATGTTTTAAATTTTTGGGCCATAGTTATTTAATTCTTTTATTTTGTATTGATATGTGTTTTAGTTCTGACTGTGCACCACCCTGAGTCCACTTGGAGAAGGGCAGGATATAAATTGAATAAATAAATAAAAATAAAAATTTGGAAGCAACTTGCCCTATATGAAAGTACAAAGAGTTATACCGCTAATTCTTCTACTCTAGCAAGAACTCCTTGGATTAGATGTGGCTCAGTGACCAGGATATGGGCAGAAGACAGCTTCCCTCAACATTTGCAGAGACCACAGCTGGGACCTTACCCATTCAAAACAGGTTGGGACAGGCCACCCAGCTCTGCTTCTTCCCCGAAGTCAGACTCTGCATCTCATCCACTGGTCTGAGAGACATGGCACTGGTGTCTATTCACAGATAAGAAAGCAAGCAAGCTCCCTTCTGCCATTTCTCACCTTTGACTCGCTCCTCACTGGCAAACTCATTGCAATCTTCCTTTATGTGGAGAATTATTTTAGTTCCAACCTGAACTCCAGAAGCTTCTGAAATTTCGAACGTCCCAGAACTGGAGTTAGAAAAGTAAATCAGAGGAAAGAAGCAAACTACAACCAAGTATGAACCCATGGACTAAGTGCTATCCTACAAGCAGTAATCAGTGCATAGCTGACTCTCATCCTAATGCAAAAATTGCAAGACCAGGTCTCCCTGGTAAAAAATAATACCTTAGCTCCCATTATCTGAGCACAATTTCTACAGAAGTATCAGAAATGTCTTGCAAAAAATAGGGCTTCCCTTCTAAACTTAAGTCTTCATTCTGGGATTCCAACTCAGGGAGGCAGATAGAATCCAAAGCCCCTCAATTTTCCAGCAAAGCTTAGAACATTTTATGCAGTCTTTTAACCATTCAGCTGCAGCCTCCCAGCCCAGCCTCTGCCACATCCTTACCCGTCTGAACGCCAGCAATAACCAAAGCTATCTGGCTCTGCTGACTTGGAGAAAACTTCCACTTGATTAGCCACCATAAACACTGAATAGAAGCCCACTCCAAATTGGCCAATAATCTTACTGCTGGCCTCTGTTTGGCTCTTCAGTGTATCCAGAAAGGCCTGTAGATACAACATAAGCAGGCTAAGTGCATGAAGCAGGACCCAGCTGGTCTGCCTCACCTTGCTACCACCCCTGTTTGCAAAGAATAAAATGCCACTTCGATTCTTGAGAGTCCACAGCCACCTGAGCATTCTTCCCCAAAACCTTTATTGGAATATGGCAGTCTGCATATTTTGTAAATAAAAATTACAAGAGCCATTTTGGTGTTGCAGTTAAGGCATCAGGCTAGAAACTGGAAGACAGTCAAGTTCCCGTCCCACTTTAGGCATAAAGGCAGTTTCTGAGAATCAGACATGATTTTAACTAAAGGAAAAATGAATACATGTGCATATCACTCACACAAACACACAAATCGGTTTACTATTTGTTTATGTTATTCTACCCAGAGTCTCGCTACTTGAGTCTGGAGCTTTATAAACCTAATTAATACAATACGTGCAAAATGAAATCAATTACTCCCAATCAATACAAATGTTCTTAAAAATGTTTAAAATGTAAAGCAATCTAATGACAAAGCTAAAAACTACAGCAAGTTTTATTCAACAAACATATGAGAAATTTTATGAAGACAAAGGATCTGTTTGTCCCTCAAAGGTACACAAGTATGTAAAGCCATGGCAACAATATTACAACCCGCCCCCCTCTTCACCTTACCTTGGAGCCAGATCTCGCAATGGTCCCTAAATTGGACAGAAGTTCTTCATAGTTCATCCCAATTCCAGTGTCCTGCAAGCAACACAAAAGGAGTTCCTCGCATATCCAGCACTGCACTTCGGGATGTGTGGGAAGAGACAGGCTCCTTCTCTGCCCCCCACCCTTTCCACATAAGATACAAGAATCAGATTAACTCACAGCACTGCTTCTGATATTTTGCTCTGACAGCTATGGCGTAAAAACTAGTGCAGTGCATTAAAGGCAGAATCAAATCCTCCTTCCCAGGCCATAAAACCCATGTTGTCACTTAAATCAAGCTCAAAATTTAGCGCAGCTGCAGTACTAAATTACAAACACTTTCCCTTCTGGGAAAACTTTCAAAGCATTCCAATTCCCTTCCCAGCTCCTTTCTGGGACAAGCAAGGCTAGATTCTCCTAGAATCAACCTCACTGGCCTCTACTTGCCAAGCAACTTTCAGCTAACCCTTGAAGACAGAGAATCCAGTGAATAGCAAGAGGAACATGTTACTTTTTACACAGTATGCAAAAAAAAAAAAAAGAAAAAAGGTCCTCCTACCTGGATGGCAACCAGGCACTTTCTCCTGTCTGTCTCCAGATCAATCCTGAGTTCTGGCAAGACCCTTCCTTCAGAGACCAGTTTGTGGCGCAGCTTCTCCAGAGCATCGCTACTGTTGGAGATCAGCTCCCGGATGAATACCTGTCAAAGAGTCAAAGAGAAGCTAAGCTCTGCAGAGCGAAGGGACGTCTTAAGCCCACGTTGTTGGCTTCACCCTGGAAGACTTACCTCCTGCTCAGAGTAGAGGGAGCGGGCCACAATATCCAAAAGTTTCTGGGTTTCGGCCTGGAACTCGTGTTTCGAGGCGGAACCTGCTAAAACAAGCTCAGGGTTGAAATGAAGGTTCATTGGTGCTAATAGGCATGAGTACTGATGGCGTTACCTAGTTTGGGTAACGAAACGTCTGCAAGAAGCAACCGGGATCAGAGAGCACCAAGGAGCCCTCAAGGGGAAGAGGAGCTGCGTCCCGACTCCTCGCGAGGAGAATTCCTCCGGCCCGGCGGGAGGCTTACCTGGGACTCTCTCGGGCCTACTAGGCGACCGGGGCGGTGGCGCCTCTTTGTCGTCCCCAGCGGCGCGGCTGCTGCACGAGCGCCGACAAGGCCAACTGGGGGGCCCGGGGGAGGCCGCAGAGAGCAGCCCAATCGGGGCTTGGCAGACGCAGGCAGCGGTACTCTGCTCACGCCCGGCGCGGAGGAGGACCGGCAGGGAGGCGCGGCGGCGAGAGCGCCCCAACAGCAGCAGCAGCAGCGGCGACAGCCTCCCCAGCGCCATGGCCACGGCACGACCGCTTCCGGCGCTGGCGGGACGTCACAGCCGGAGAGGGCGCGCCGGTAACGTCACGACCGCAGAGGACGGGCCAGTCCGGCGCCGTGTCCGCTGAGGGGGCGCCCGGCTGGCTGTCCTAATGGCGCGCCCGGAGGCGGAGGCGGAGATCCACCCGCTCAAGGCCCGAGAGGCGCCGGCCTCGCCGGGCAGCGGGGCTCGGGACGCCGAGAAGGAGGCTGGCGGCGGCGCGCAGCCCGGCCGTCTCTCTCAGTGGCGCACCGCGGCCTTCTTCCTCTCGCTCTACCTCTGCCTCGGCGTGGCCTTCGCCTTCTCCTTCGTCATCCCCTGCCCGGTCAGGCCCGCCTCGCGGACGGCCTGGAGCAGGGCCTACGACGACGCTGGTGAGGGCGGGTGGGCGGCCGGGGCTCTTGGGGCCGCGCGAGGCCCGGGCTCACCCACCTCGCTCTCCCTCTCGCTCTCGCTCTCGCAGTGGCCTACGCCTTCCTGGGCGCGGGGGACGCCGACGGGGACCGAGTGCAAGACCTGTTCGTGGCCTTCCAGGCCGGCCCCGGCAGCCGGAACGCCAGCGGCGCCGACCATGGCTCTTGCTCCGGAGGAGGTAAGGGGGGGGGGCGCGGGAGGGGGAATGGCGGGCGCGGCTGGTGTGACCGATCCGCCCCTCCCTTTCCGCAGGCTTCGCCACCCCCTGCGCCTTCCTGGCGGCGCATTCGGGCACCAATGGCAGCACTCTGTGGGAAAGACCGGTGGCCCAGGAGCTGCTCCTGATGGACTGCTCGGTGGAGCACGGCGGCTCTCCGGCCTGCCTTATCATCGGGAATCCGGCTTCCATCGCCCTCCTCGACCTGGAAACAGGTACCTTCCTTTTGAGCTAGGCGCCTCGGGAAGATGGATCCGTTTTGGGGCAAAGAGACGCCCAGAAGGAAGGGATGTGAAAGCAAAAATGCACTGTGTACCTTTGCCTTCTTGCCACAGTAGGGCGCGCCAATAAATGGAGTACAGATTTCCCCTGCTTTCCTAGTGCGGACTGTTAGTGTGGTTTTAGTAAGTCTGAAATGACTGCCGAAAGCCAAGGCACAGGCAGCACTCTGTCTGCATCTTGTTTATGTAAACAGCGTAGCCAGAGTTTAGCAGCTATTCATATTTGAAAGTAAGGGTTAATGCAGCTCTGGGACAACATGCTCCTGTTGAAGCTCTGTGATCTGATCCAGCATGACGCTTCATAGATTAGACAGGATGACATCCGAGCAAAAGGGATCCTGCTGGAACTCTGCAAAAGCATGGCACTTCGGCATCCATGGAAATCTTGACTCCCCTTGTAGCAAGGTTTTTGTTCCTTCTTCAGCTGCAAAGACTATGGGTCTGCTGTTTCGTCCTCAAGCAGCAGCACTTTTCTCCTATCCTTAGAAATATTGATGAAGTGAAAACAGAAAAATGAGTCTGGTTCTTCTTGTGGTGAGCAAGTGGAACAGATGAGCAAGTGTGTTTTCCCTTTTCTTTATTTAGAAGGTAGGTGACATGAGAACTCCTAGTTGTGATGGGGTGAATGCCAGAGCTTAGATGGGTCAAAATGGTGCCATTTGTGAGGTCACACATTGCAGTAGACTTATTCAGTGATTAACTAAAATGAAAGCTCAGGATGAATTCCATAATCAAAAACCACTACATTAGAAAGGTAGGCATCTTACCTGCCAAGGCTTCCGAATCAGCACTACCTACTCTGGTTTTTTCCTAGGCCAGACTCGGTGGAATGAGGCAGTCAATTTTGGTGCTAACGCTACAGTCTTGAGTCCCTTACTGAAGATTCCTGATATTGACAAAGACGGTGTGCCTGATTTCTTGGTCTTTGCTGCCACAGGAGAGGAGGTAAGAATTGCTGAAGCAATAGGGTCCTCCTGTCTGTTGCAGAGGAATTGGCCACATTCATAGCAGCATGGGGGCTCAGAGTCTAAAAAAAAAATAAACTACATCACTTCTACACCGCAGCAATCAAAATTAATTGGATGATCTGTGTTATAAACTAATGAGCCTTTTTTTTTGCCTTCTCTGTGATTTCATACAGTCTTCCACATACTAAGCCATCATGCATTCCTGTACCCATCTTACTCTACCTCTTCTTTTAGGTTCTTACAAACTTTTACATAGAAACTTTCTGTTTTACTATCTTTCAGCTTTTCCAAGCGTTTAACATTGGTGCTCTTCTGAATCTTAAGAATCCTGGGCAGCAGGCCTGAAATACAGTTGTTGGGAGCCACTGATAGCAGGGAGCTCTTGCCATCTTATTTCAGCCTCTGGGTTTCTCAATTCAGCCTGTCAGACACAGGGTGCCGGGGTAAAGAGCCTGGGGTCTCAGCGTTCTTCAGCTCAGTGTTTCAATTAGCAACTGCTGGTTGGAGACATGGCCACCAGTTACTAAGAAATTCCTGCTTTCTGTAGCAGAATTGATCAGGGGAAGGAATGGGAGCAAAGGATTGCAACATTCCCTTTATTCCATCTTTTTCCTCATCCTTGTTATCTTTAAGAATTAGAGTTAGTGGGGGGGGAGATTATTTGCAGTTGACTGAAAGGGGGATGTTGGGAATTTATGGGAAGAGCAATGCCATTGGAAGAATTCAGAGCAGGGTGTCTCACTATCAAACTACTTGGAAGGTCAGCAGGGAGCAGCAGATCTTCTGACAGTCCTGAGGGGTCTTACACAGCTCAAACTGATACTTCGTTTAATGCCAGAATCATTTTCTTTCCCCAAGCTTTGAGCACAAGTTGTGTTGATACTGAAAAGAATCTTGTCTGTAAACCTTCAGGTTATACTCCGCTTAGGAGCCGTGGTGGCACAGTAGTTAGAATGCAGTACTGCAGGCTATTTCTGCTGACTGCTGGCTGCTAGCAGTTCGGCAGTTCGACTTACACCAGCTCAAGGTTGACTCAGCTTTCCATCCTTCCGAGGTTGGTAAAATGAGGACCCAGATTGTTGGGGGCAATATGCTGACTCTAAACCACTTAGAGAGGGCTGTAAAGCACTATAAAGCGGTATATAAGTGCTATTGCTACTATTACCATGAAGGATGATCTAGTCCCGTTTTTTAAGGTTCCATGCTTTTTACTGATCCTTTTGAAGGCAACATGAATGCCAGAGTGCTGCTTAGGCTGAACTGTCCTAGCTCCAATTTTCTCTGCAGATTAAGAGCTTCTTCTATTCAGGCACATTTGGCACACAAATGAAATTCAGTGGAAGCCTGCATTTGCCAGGACTGATTGGGCACCTCTTGCACGTCACCAAGAGCGGAGCCCACTACATCCTGTTCTACACAGGTGGGTCCTGAACTTCCAGGGGTGGGGAAGAAGGGCAGCAGGACAGTCTGACCTTCAACCTGCTTTATTTGCACCTTTCTTTCTTGCTTTAGCAAAGGCTCTTTTTGCCTACTCGCTGAAGGAGCTCTATCACATGGCTGTGGGCCCAGCAAGCCCAGCCCTTGCCACCCTGAAGGAAGATGCGAATTGGGAGATGGCGATTCTTCACAAGGCTCGACAGGTGCCCCTAGCCAGGTACCTGCTGGAATCCCTCCTGACCTAAGATCCGCGGAAGCCCTTTGCTCTTCCATTTTCCCTGCTTGCTTCAACCCCTTTACGAATGGAAAGCAGAGGGCCCTTGACCTGCTGTCACGCAAAGCAGAGGCTTTTAAGTGGCTGCAGCACCAAGGTTTGACCTGCACTGCTGCCCTGAAGGCTTGGAAGAAGAGGTGCATGACCTCCGGCAAGGGATAACAGGAGTTTTTTATTCCCTGTTAGCTCTGGAGATATTCAGTACGTGACAAAGATGACAGAGAAATCAGGGAGCCATATTTTGGTTGCAAGATCAGCTATGTTGGAGCTGGTGAATGGACAGCAGCTGAATTCATTGTGGGTTGTTGATGTGCCACACATCCTGAGGTAATGCCAGTATTAGGAATGTTGGCTGTGCAGTACGGCCTTGCACGAATGCTTAGTACTCTCCTGAGTTGCAGGGAGAGGACTTTGCTACCTGTTTCTGGTATTCCCTGGATAAGCCACCTCTAGACAGGATGGGCAGCACACAGATCAGATCAGATGAGATGAGATGAATGAACGAATGAATGAATGAATACATAAGCAAGCTGAACCTGGGATAGGGAAAGAAGGGTGAAAAGCCAGAGATGCCATCGGTTGAATATCATCTCCTGTCCTGATTGCAGGGAGCCCGTTCTGGGAGCCTTTGGTCCCGATGAGATTGCTGTGGCCATTGAAAGCAGAGTCTCGCATGACACAAAAAAGGTTTGCAAGGGGCCCTGCGAGTGGGGTGCAGACACAGATCCTTTGGTTTCTTCAGAAGCACCAATTGTATAGTTGTATCTACTGGAGCAAAGGGACCTGGAGAGGTGTTGTTGCCATGAAAATACACACACACATACACACACACACACAAACAGGCTTTGTCTTTCTCTCTTTTTCTCTGCCAGTACCAAATCCACCAAAATTTTTTGCCATGTTTACATATTTGACATTGTGGCATCAGCATCATGTAAAATACTCAACTATATGATTGGATTTGATGGTGCTTGAATTAGACTTCCAAAAAAGGTCACCAAAATAAATGAGCCAGGCTTGCAATATTCCCAAGGTTTGAGCTTGAGATGCAGAACATTGTATTTCTTACAGCACAAAAATTGAGTGGTGGCTGATGATCTACCAGCTAATTCCAAATTAGTCTAAACTTCTTTATAGTTTACATATGCCCAGAGGAATAAAATGAACTCCCTGGGCTCCTAAGGCACCTGGATCTTTCTCTAGTTCCATGTTAGTTAAAAGAGCTTTTTATTCACCAGACTTTCTGTCTGTTAATGACACCCAGTAGAGCCTGGTGATTCCTTTGCCTTCTTCCACTTTCCAAGTTGTGGGATAGAAACACACATCTGCTGTAAGTTATTGGAAAGATGTATAGAAAAGGTAGTGAGGAACTGTGATGGCTTGTGCTCACCTTCACGAATGTTGGGTAACTGCCCAGCCCTGCTCTCAGATGTCAGCCTGATCCTTGGGCTAAAATGATGGTTGAGAAAGAGGATTACAGCCTGGAGTCCAGCTGTCCTTTCAAGTCGCTATTTACTCTGTAGGTTACAATTATGGAGGGCAGTTCTGGCATCATCAAGTGGGAAGTAGAGCTGCTTTCAGAAATGCAGAGTCCCAAGCCAGCCACTCTTACAACTGTTGATCGCAGATCCATCTTCCTCTTTTGGGGCCTGTACCAGGATGAAAGAAATGAAACTGTGAGTAGGGAATGATCTGTAATAGATGGAAATAAGGTGGAGCTGCCCACAATGTGCCTTGCAGAGCAGCAGCAAGTCAGAGGCTGCACTCTGCCTAGCACTGGGAGTGGAGGAAGGCCTTCCCAGCTCCATGCCTTGTGGGCTTTTCCTTTGGGCTCAGTTTCCCCCAGAAAGCTCTGGGAAGAATTTGTACAGGTAGTGCTCAGGTCTTGGTTGTACATCATGATTATTAAGCAAGACACATGACTGCCTCACTCAACAACCACAATTCCAGTTCTTCTTTTTGGTCATTAAGTAACTATCCAGCAGTGCTTTAAGGTGGGTGATATCTTGGGATGTCCGGCGTCCACCGGCAGGTGGAAACCTCCAGTGGGTTAAAGGCCTTGGGAGGTCAAACCCATCAGCCTGCCCTATCCCATGCCCCCACTCCCTTTTGCACGCAGCTAGAAAACTAGCAAAAGAGAGGCTGCTGCTGCCTAGGAAGATTGCCTTCACTAGCTTCTCAGTTGCACCTCACACCAGCTGGGTGCAACTATGGGCAGGGGAAAAGAAAGGTAAGTGGATCTGGATAGGGCAGGGCAGAGAGAAGGCCCAGGCCTCTCAAGAGGGGGAGAGCAGGGGAATTGCAGCACTTCCATGAGCATAAAGGCCGGCATGCTGCCAAGTGCCCAAATTTTGATCATGTGACCACTGGGCTGCTACAAAGATGAGAACGTTAGGCAGGGGTCACAGATCCTTTTGTTCAGCACTGTCAATTTTGGTCACTGGACGAAACGTTGACTCCCTATAGTAAGAGAGGTCCATCTATAGTGGGTGCAGCAAGTGGAGTAATTAGGTGGCCTTTATTGTAGGGGGGGAGGGGTGGTCTTCATCCAAGTGTCACAGGAGCATAGCAGCTCTTGGGCATAAGTAGACCAGCCCAACTGTTCCTTGTGGGGCCCTGGCCCTCTCTCTCTTCTCCTCCAGGGATCTTGGCATGGAAGTCGGCAGCAGCGGCTGTACCTTTTCCATCCCTCCCTGCCCACTGTTCTCTTGGAGCTGAGCAACAGCACTGAGCCCATAGTGGCCTTTGAAGGTGAGTGGGCACCCCAGCTGTTTGCCAAATTGCCCGGCCATTGGGGGCTCCTGCTACACTTCCCCTTTTGGTTCTAGGGTTGCTTTTTGAGCGAAGCCGCCATGCCTGTTACGTGCTGCTGGCAGGCCCCCAGGTTGGCAGCTCCCCTGGGAGAGTGGTCCTCTCAAAACGGAAGCTGAAGGAAGATATTTTCAGCAGCCATGTGATCTGGCTCAACCAGATGCCCCAAGATACTGACCAGAATGTCCGGGACTATTTCCACCGAATGAGATTCCGTACCTTTGGGTGAGGAGTATAATCCCAAAGGCTTTCAGACCTGAAGCTAGCCAGGGAGAAGGTAAACCGCACTCAGCTCCTGGAACAGTTTGGCTAGTCCCCCACTAGGACTTGGATCCCGTTCCCTGGATTGTGCATAGAGGCACTAGATTAAACAGGGTGGGGGGAGAGACATTGTGCCTCCTCTCTGACCACCAGAGGCATCCATGTCCCAGAGGAGAAAGATCCTGGAGATGGTGCAACTGAGGTGGGGCGGTTCTAACATGTTACGTGCCTAGCCATCTGGCTCCTCTTAGTCATCCTTCCCCTGGAACAGTGAACTCTGTGCAGCTTGGATGTATAACTGCATCAGCCCTGGAAGTGCTTTGAGGGCCCTCTCAGAGTCATAGCTGGCTTGGATCCTATGACCTCCCAAAAGAATCTGCAGAGCAGCTCCATCGGCCTTGGCTACCTCTGCTCCCAAAGTAATGCACCTGATCCCCAGCTCACATGCACCAAGCCATGCAGGTTGGCATTGCCAGGTACTGGGGCATCCAATTCTTCTGCCTCCTTGTTTTCTTGCTGTGGCCAAGCCTCAGGTGTGGCTTTTTCTTTTTCTATCACAGTTCAAAGATGGACATGCTTTGTAGAGCTGTAGTTCATTTATATGGCCTGCCCTTGATAATTTCAATTTCAATAAATTCAACTTTGGCCACAATGTTTGAAATGTCATTTGTTCTCTGTGCTTCTCCCTGTACCTATAAGAGCTAGGAACAGCCCAGCAGCACCAGAGTAGGAATTGGGACAAACTGGATTTCCTAATGGGGGCGGGGAAATGAGCAGTACGTTTCTATGTGATGCCTAGCAAGGTTGGTTAGGGCTGAGCAGAAGGGAGGGCTTGGTATGGCATACACACAGTTCTGCATCCCATATAGATGCAGATCCAGGAGCTCGAGGTAGCCAGTGTGGGGCTTTTGAGGAATGCATCCAGGCTCCATTTGTTCCCAATTCTAAGGACCTGGCAGGAGGGGGGCTCTCCCTTTAAAGTGCTTTCCTGTGTCTTCTCTGCCAGACATGTTGAGCCCCTGGTAAATTGTATGCCTTTTTGGGAGAGACTCCACAATAGCCAGGTGGGTCCTCGGGATCTTTGGCCACAAAGGAAACCCACACAGCACTGCCTTTTGGTCTGACCTGCTCTGTTCTGCTGCTGGTGGTGGTGGTTGCACGAGATGCTCTTTAATTTTCGGGTGGGCGGGGGAGCTTTGGTTTATTTCGCCCCCAGCATAATCTTTTCTGACGATGAAGCAGCTTAAGCGTTCCCAGCTTCCTTCTTAGGCTCTGCTCTTGATCCATTTCCCTGCCTCTCATGGCTTTAAAAATAACCTCTCAGAGTTATTTACTAGGGAAGGCTATTTGTTTGACATAGTTAATCATGTCAGCAAGCAGAGCTGTTAACAGCCAAGAAGTTCTAATGCATATCTGTGGAGATCCCCTTTCCGACTCCTTCCCTGCTTGAAGCCACCTTAGCTAAAAGGCCTCTGCTAGGGAGAAATCCCCGACTCACAGCTGTAATTTAACTCACTTTTGACTCCATCTAGCCTTCCTCTTGCTACTTGCAAATGCCTTAAATTGGGCAAAGGTGGTTAATGTAGCCAACATCTCTATCCTGACAGGAGAGAAACTTTCTTGTGTTAGTTTGTTTTTCTAGAGGGAAATGTTCTTACATTGGGTTCGTTGGTTTATAAATTCAGTTTTACCATATGGCCAGTTCTGCTTATTTTTGGCAGATTCATGGTGAAGATATTCCAAGTGGCATAGGTCTCCTTGTAAAATTATGCAGGAGCAACAACTATGAAATTGTCTGAATATTTCATATGCATTCACAGAATCCTAGATAGGACCGTTTGCAAGGTGACGGGCAGATGTTCCTCAAAAGAGGTGCAGAAAACGGTCACTGCCTTGTTTCAATATTAGGCCAGGTTGCCTTTGGCCTGGATAAAACCTGTGAGGGTGGCATTCTGGCAGCCATTTAGAAGCTGGGAAAACAGGCTGCTCAGCTAATCTGCTTAAGTGCAGAGGAGTACAGAAGGACATTATCTCCAGCTCATCCGGCCTTGCATAATACTATGCAAATTTGCCACCAAAGCTGTGGAGGTCCCCTTGCATACAAACATTGGGCATGCTGCTCCTGGAAGCAGCATATCTGATGTCCACCCACTAGGTGCTCTTCACTAATGGCCAAGCAGGAGCTAGCTGGGCAGAAACTTGACAAAATCAGGTCTATTGGTCACAATGAGAAGAAGCAAATGAATGGAACAGCAACACACAGGGCCCAGATAGATTTGGGGGAGGGCATGGCTAATGCTAGACTGGCCCCCTCCATACCCAGTGAGATGACAACAGCCTGGGTCAAGAAGGGGACTTTATTGTGAATGGGATATTCCATGAAAGGCAGGAATGCTGCCAGCCTTGCTCAAAAGAGGGCAGAGGCTTGGCTGCACTGAAGGATAAGCCAGAAAAGGGGGAGAGTAGCCAGAGGCAGTCTTTTGTCCAGGTGAGTCAGAGAGAGGCCTACATCTTGATGCCTGCTGGGGTGGGGGCAAAATGCCTACAGCATCCAGGGAACAAATGCTTTGGGGGAGGGGAAGGATTCCCCTTAGCCTTGCTCCTGGGGCCCCACCTGGCTCTCATCTTCAGATCTCACTTCCTGGGCCCCGGGAGGGGGCAGGCAGGCAGGGCTCGTGCTGGAGTGTCGTGGCTGCTTCCTCATGAATGGGAATGCCCTGCCAGGAGGCAAAACGGGTCCATCAGCAATGGATCTTGACTCACTCTCCAAGAGAGCTTCCTCCAAGGTTGACCCACTCACCGCTTCTTGGTCTCTTGTGGCACAAGGGCTTCAGCAAGCAGCTTCTTGTAAAGCTCGGACTTCAGAAAGCGTGGATAGGAGTCCTGGTGATAGAGGGGGCAATTTAGAGAGAGATCCTCCAGCCCAAGAGCAGAAGATGCAACATCAGCCTGCTCTTGCTGCTCGTCTGGCCACTCAGGCCTTGAGGTGGGTAGCATGCACGCACGCACAATCACACACACACAGCATTACTTCTCTCCCTGGTAGTTTCAGGACCTTTTTCATCAGCATGTAGATGTGCATCTCAGCATCGTCCATTACATAGCGGTGAGGGGTCTTGATACCCTTCAAGGTGTGCTCCATAGTTTTGCTGTCAAGGTTCACCCAGCGGGTGGCACTGGGCGCTAGAAACTCCCTGGAGGAGGAGCAGTAGAGGAGTGATCATGCAGGTCGGAAAGCAAAGCTTTAGCAGGCTCTGGGCACCACATGAGAGTGAGGAAAGGTACAGACGCACACAAGCCCCAGAAGCAAGGCAGCATGGCCATCCACTGCTCCCCAAGTTGAGCACAACCTCAGCCCGCTATCCTCCAGGGGAGAAAGCCACCTACTGATAGATGAAGTCCACAGCTTCTGCAATGTGGGCCTCTTCCCCCAGGCGTAACTCTTCACAAGCCTCCCAAAACATCAGGTTCTCAGCTGCGTGGGAGAGAAGGCAGGCCCCCAGTTGACCAAGCAAGAAGCAGGGCAGAGCCCCTACTGGCTTCCTGGGAGCCTGATGGATCCTCCTCGCACTTTCTCCTTTTCCCTCCTCTGACCCAGCAGAGCAAGGGCTCACCACTGAACTCTGTCTTGAGGAACTCTAGGAGTTGCTCTCGGCCCAAGATGTCTCCCATCAGCTCACTGAAGCCAAAGCTCCATCGCTCCACCCGCAGCTTGGTGGGAATTGTGACCCTGCAAGGCAAAAGGGTCTCGGGCAGAGCTGCTGTGCAATTTGGGGTTTCCTCCTGGCTAGAGATGGCAGCCATAGCTGGGAAAGCCATTACACAGATACAGTTTGTATACCAATTGTACCCATTCCTTGACCGGAAAGCCTTGCTCACTGTCAGTCACATTTTGGTTGGAAAATTGCAGCATGCTCTACAAGGGGCTGCCCTTGAAGATCATCTGGAAATTAGAGCTGCTGAAGAATTCTTGCAAAATTTTGGGTACTGTCAGCTCAACTAAGTTATACTATCGAGGTGCACCAGTTCTCTGTTTCTTTCCTAGTGTAATTCAAGGTGCTGGTCATTACCCTACATGGCACAAAGCCAAGCTATCTGCAGAACTGCTGCTCCCTAAGGATATCTGCCTGCCCCCCCCCCCAGGTCAGACAGTGGGCACACTCCAACAGCTACTGTCCAACTGTGGAGTGCCCAGGGCTACCTTTTTATTCTGATGCCTGTGAAAGAGCTGGCTCTGAACAACTTTCCAGAAAATTAGGAGAGGGAGGGACTGCTGGCTCTCAAGGGGATGGTGTTCCACAAAACAGGGGCATTATGGAAAAGGCACTCTTCCTAGGCCGAACCAGATGGCAGCATTTGAGAAAGGGACAGTGCCCACTGTCTGACTTGGGAGACAGGCAGATATCCTTAGGGAGCGTTTTTCTTATATGTTTATTGGAATATTTTTATCATTGTTAGCAGCCCAAAGTTTGTGTCTCACAAAATGGGTGGCATATAAATATTATCAATAAATAAAAAGAGCTGAGCGCCAATAACAAAGACCCCCTACTTGGGAAAGCTGGGCACACCAATCTCTTACCGGGGAGCATTCATGGCCCAGTATGTGATGTCATCAGTGATCCAGGGATTGCTTGGGAGGCAGCCAGAGATGATGGGGTCGTGGGACATATACTGCTCATTGAACTTGAGATACCTGCAAAAGATAGTGGAGGTGGAGAGGAGACAGGAGGGGTCCCTCTCACTGCTCCAAATGACAGAGGACAAGCAGCAGCCAAGGTGCCCCCATCGGGGATAACTTCTCAAAGCTGAGAAAAAGTTAGAGTAGGACATAGAGAGGCATTCAGAAATAAACTCAGTCATTTGATATTCTTGATTGGTACCGGTCACTGGGGAGAGGGGAGCAGAGCACCTGCTCCTAAAACTCTTGAGAACAAGGCTGAAATTGGCCACGCCACGGGTTCTCCACTCACCCTTGCAGGCAAAGGGAGGACTTGACACGCATCCTGCCCAGGGCAGCACAGTAATAATGGATCTGCAACCAAGGACAGAGAATGGCAAAGAACTTGTGCCACCAACTGCCAACTTCCATCACCACATCCAGGTGGGAAGGAGCCCTAAGGAAGACTGCCTTGAACACTGTGTGCATGTGTGTATGCGCGTATACACCTTTTCAAAGGTTTGAATGTCTCCTATCAAGAGCCACTTGCCTGTTATTTCCCGCCTCCTTTCCCCTTAGCCACCCCTCCCCTGTCAGGCCTGCCTTAGAGCAAACCTTCCTATAGGCCTCCAATTTCTGCCTTTCACCCACTGCCACAAATGCGCACGCATGCATGCACACACACACTCACCTCCTGTTTGTAGTAGTCCATGTTCTTCAATAAAAGAGAAAAGAGTGAAACTCATTAGCCACACCAGCTGGAATCTCCCTTGCAGCCATCCACAATTTTTGTCCATTGCTAGTACTGATTCAGCCCCTACTTGCTCAGAAAACCCAAGTCTTCTCTGCTACTTCTAAACAATCATTTGAAAACCTTTTGAATGCCCTAACCAGCAGAGACAGTTTCCTGCCTTTCTCTCGAAACCCCATTTTGCAAGTTGGCGCTGAGAGTTAGTAATGGGGGGGGTGGGGGGGGAGGAAGAAGCTCATACAACTCACAAGCAAGAGTGTAGACCTCAGAGGTCATGGAGAAGGGAGGGGGATCACAAGCCAAACCCACAAAGAAGGAGCAAGGACCCCAAAAGAATCCCACCACCACAGCCTTTGGCACAGATGCTGACTGGGCAGGAGGCAGCCACAATTCAGGAGACAATAGCATCCCATTAAGGCAGTGATGGTGAACCTTTTAGACACCAAGTGCCCAAACTGTGCGTGCCCAAACTGAAAGGTACCCATGCGTGGACTTGCGTGGACGTGCACATGGAGACATGCGTGAATGTGGACATGCACAAACATGTGCGCGTGCATGCACAAATATGTACATGCATGCACAGCAGAGACCCAAAGACCAGCCTGCCAGTGGGAGGCATGGCATCCCAACACCAGCAGTGCGGAAAGAGGTAAGATGTCAAGTTTCGAGGTCATCTCACATAAGATCTTTTTCTTTCGTGAGCTTCTGTTTCATCATTTGCAGGGAAACAGGAGCTCACAAAAGAAATGCCACAAAGATCTGACCTCGGGCAACGGCGTGCGTGCCAGCAGAGAGGGCTCTGCATTCCACTTCTGGCACGCATGCCATAGGTTTGCCATCACGGCATTAAGGGGAACCAACCAAGGACTGGACCACAAGCCAGGGTGTCTTTCTCCCCTCCTTTTCCAGAAGGCAAGAAAGCTCAGCTTAGCCGCTCTCCAGCTGTCCCAGCAAGGGAGCCCTTCACACACACACACACACACACACACACACACACACACACACTTACCAGCTGCGTAGGCGTGAGGGAGTGGCTCCTCAGCTCTGGCCTCGGACCCCTCACATCCAAGACTCCCCCCTGTAGGTGAAGCAGAACAAAGGCTGGCTGGCTTGCCATTCTCTTGCCCAGTGAACCCTTCCTGGGGCAGCCCCCAATCTGCAATTCTGCAACTCACTCCCAGGGGCAACTCACTCCCAGCATTCATCCATCACAGGCAAAGGGAAGCTTTGTGGGCAATGGAAAAATGCCTGGTGTATAAATGAGCCATGGAAGGTTCATTTCCAGACACAGTTTACAGAAGGATTTTCAGCAGTTGAGAGGTAGCACCAACTATTTTGCTGCAAGTGCTGCAAAATAGAGAGCCAAGAAGTCCAGTGCAAATCCTGGCCGCTCTTCCCCTGGTGCCCTGGCGCACCAAGCCCTCTCTTCCTCCCACTCACCAAGGGTCTGTTGACAAGCCAATAGGCCTGTTCTTGGCACTCAATGACAATCCGGTCAGCCCTCCTCCGCTGTTTAGCTGCCCTGTGAAAAAGCAAGGGTTGCATCAGAGCTGCTGCCACCCCGCTCCCCAATCCCAAAGGCGCAGACCTTGTTCCTGCAAGCTCACCGGAGCTGCTCCCGAGCCTGCATCACCACGAAGTCCCAAATATGATTGATCCTCTTGCACAGTTGCCTATAATCCTCCTACAGAAGATGGCCCACCCCGTCACATGCGAGGGTCAGTGCTCTCCTCACAGCTCTGGAGAGAAAGGGGAGGAAAGGGGCTCCACACACCCAGGGGAAGGAGAGAGGCTGCCTGGGGATCTCCTTCGTTTCAGTCCTCCAACCAGTTACACTCCCTGGTCCTCGGGGACTAGCCTAAACCCCAGGCACCCTTACCTTCTCAAGCTCACGGAGTTCACCTTGCTTGCGGATATTCCTCTTTGCCAAATAGATGGCTGAAACAGGAAACCGTGACCTCAGGCATGCCGCAGCTGAAGGGGGGGGGGCAAAGGCTGGCCTGGCCATTGGGGATAAAACCACTGCCATACTCACCATAATCAAGGTCAGTGGCCAGCCACTGGGTGCTCATCCAGAAATAGGGGGTCTGTAGGCCACAGAGGGAGAGGCTCAGTTCAGCTGCCCTGGGGCAGAAGCAGGGGGCCTCTCTCTGCTTGAGAGTTAGCCAAACTCTTCTCAGGAGCCTCCCCAAGACCTTTGGAGGAAAGATCCTTCCAAGCCATCTTATCCAACCATCTCTTTTAGAGACATAGCTGAGGTGTCAGCCAATTCCATGTCTCAGGGGGGTGCTGGTTCACTCTAACCTACCTGGAACCTGTAGGGAGTCTCATCCCTTCGCAAGAGCAGCATGTGAGGATCCTTCAGAGAATAGATGTAGCCATGCTTCACAAGCAGGTTTCCAAGATGCAAGGATTCTAGAGGAGGGAAAGGCGGGGTTGAGAGTGCTAACTGAATAGCTGGGGAGGTGGGCAGAGTGCTAGCTGAATAGCTGGGGAGGTGGGCAGCCTTCCAGGCAACCAAGACTCCTGCAGAGAAAAGCCACCTTCCTCACTGGGCCAGGCTAAATAGGATGTTTGTTTGCCTCTAGCTAGGCTTTCCCAGCCACAGAAGGCAAAAGCAACGGGGAGGGGGGGGAAGGCTTGCCAGCTCCACCAAACCTAATCCAGGTAGCTCACCTTCCTCCCAGATGTTGTATTTCTGGATGAGCCACTCCACAATGTCATTCCCTAAAAAGGAGAGATGCCTGGGTGAGGGGCGCTGGTGCAGCAAGGAATCCGCTGCCAGACTGCACCCAAGGGGTGGAAGACCCTCAGGAGGATGACCCAGACCTCCAGGTGAGGAAGGGACGGAAGAGAAGCCCCTTCCCCAACAGGCCTTTCTCCGTGGTCTTGCAGGAGCCTCCGCCTCCCGGCTGCTGTCGCCTAGGGAACCGCCCAAGAGGCAGCCACGGGACCCTTCAGCGCTTAGCGAGCGCCTCGGGCGGGCCATGCTGCGGTCTCAGCCCGGGGAGCAGAGCGGCACCCACCGGTCACGGCGTGCGGGATGATGCTGACCAGCAGCCGCTGATTCCGCACCGGGACGCCCAGATCCGGGTCTTGCATGCCGACCACGACGCGTTCCATCTACGGGGGAGGCATGATCCATACCCGCTCAGCGCCCGGGCCGGGGCTGGCAGCGGGCCGGCAGCCCTCACCCTACCCCACCCCATCCCACCTTGGCGAGGCACGGTAGCTGACGGCGGGGGGCGCCCCCCGGGCTGAGAAAGCCGATGGTCATGGAGGCGGGCCGGCCGGCGGGCGAACTACGGCTGCAGGCGGCCACGCAGGCGCTGAACCGCTTCTTCAAGCGGCGGTCCGTCCCGGCGCCGTGGCGAGCATCTGTGCTGCCATCTGTCTGCCTGCCGACCGGGCGGCCACTCCCTAAAGTCCGAGCGCCTCTGCGCACGTGCAAAGCGCTAGTGCCGGCCAACAAACGCAGGCGCGCGCTTGTCGCCGGTGCCAGGCGAGCTCCGTAGGGACTGCCGGCAGGAGGCCGAAAGAGGGAGGAGGGCGGCTGGGCGAGCCTGCCTTGCCCGAGCGGGCCGGCAAAGGGCCCGGAGTCAGCGAAGGAGGGACGGCCCCGGGCGCTTCCCCGCCCTCCCCCGCCCGACACAGAGACACACACGGAGACGCGCGCCGGGGCTGGCGGGCTCTTTATTGGGGCGCTTCGAGAAGCGCAGGCGAGGCCCTGGGCAGCGCTAGGGCGGCCGAGACTCGCGAGCCAGGCGGGAACGGGTGACTCTCTTCAGGGGGTTCGAGCGCTTGGTCTTGAGCGCGAAGCCGCGGAGCGGAGGCCGCGAAGGGCAGGGAGAACTGGGCCCCGAGCCGGGGTCTCCCGCGGCCGGCGAAGGAAGACGAGCGGGACTCCTCGCCAAGCGTCTGCAGCCGGGGAAGCCGCAGAGGCAGGTGCAATTCCAGCTTTTCACCTCCCAGAACTGGTCGCCGTAGTCGAATCTGCAAGGGGAAGCGGAGGTAGATGCCGTCCCTGTGACGCCCGCGCACCCAGCTGGGCGAGGGAGAGCAATAAGGGAAGCCCGGTAAAGTAACTTAGCTCTCCCCAACCTTCAAAGCAGGTGCCAAATGCGATCATTTCGCAGGCAAAATTGCACATTCTCTAAACACGGCCTCATCTTTATGCCCCCCCTCACTTTTCCCCAGAAGCCTTCAGGGAGGAGGGAAACCCCCCTCCCCCTAATATCTCCTGTAACTCTACAGAACTTGTAGACACAATAGAAGGAGAGGCTTGTTGGTCTATGGTACCTTAGCAACAAATCTGGAATTGCTAGTGCCATTCCTATTGCTCATGAACATTTGTCTTTTAATAAAACAGATTAGTCAGAAAGTTAATTCCTTAATTAATCGGCTATCAAATTCCTCCAGGGAGCTTTTTGCATGGTCAGCCATAACATGTGTCCCTGGGTAGGCTTAGAGCCGCAGCATCCACTGCTCTCAACGGGGGTTGCCCTATAGCAACTGGATCTGGACCAGGGTCACTTACCCAAGTTCTTCACCAGCTTGGATGGCTCGTGTGCTGAAAAAGGCAATCCCAGGGATGTCGTATCCCAGAGCAACTTGTAGGGCCACCAAGTTGGGTTGACATGAATGATTTAGGAAACGCCCCACATTGCCATAATAGCGCCCATCGAGGCAGCATTGTTGCCCATCCTGCAAGACAAAAGCTGTGAACTCAGAGCTACTCTGGCACTGACCCCTTCCTAGAAACAATGGGGACGTATGAAGCAGTGCCCTTGCTTCCAGCTCCCTTCCCCCCCAGTCACATCCCCCCCTTAAGGCAGATTCTACCTGCATGTCCACCACAAAGTAGTAAGTGTCTTCCTCTCGATGTGCAGCCTCAGTATTGGAAATCAGCTCCCCGAAGTACCTGGTAGTGAAAGAGGTGGGTTGCTCTGCTCTTCCTCCCAGCCCCTCCTCAAAGGGGCAGCAAAAGAACCACGCTCCAGAACTCACTGGCAAAGGAAGGCTCCATGGGGCACATCCTGCACTGTGCGCACACCCCAACCTTTGGCAGCTGTCCTGTAAAGTTGGAGCTGGGTTCTGCAAGTAGAGGAAAGGCCTCTGATTACTCCCTTTGCAGAAATATGTTGTTGTATGGCAGCTGTGGGAGGACAGATCCCACCCAGCTCATACAGGTGAACTGGCCCTGCAGGGAAGAAGAGCTGCCCAGAGTGGTTTGTGAGCATCTTGATCTGATGGAATGTCAGTAAATCTCTGATGATGATGATTGCCTGTCGGGCCTGGCGCTTGCCAGGGTCACCTAAAACTGCCCCCGGTATTCCAGCAGGAGCCAGGACACCTCAGCACACTCACCGGAGCCCACGTTGCACCACCCGGTTGGGGCAGGACCTGGGACAAGCACAAAGCATGCTGCATTCGTAGATGGATCCCATCTCAGGGGCTGTGCCAGTGGTATCCAGCCTGAGTTGGCCACCCTGCATTGGCAAGGAGAAGCTGGCTGATATTCAAGAAGGGTAACACCCCCTCAGTAGGGAGAAGTAAGCCTGGGCATCTCACCGTGAGGGTCCAGGAACACTGACTGCGCAGGATGCAGGGACAGCTGGCCACAGTGCAACCTCCATCGCACCGGCAGCCCTGAAATTAACCAAAGCAGCAGGAAAAAGATCAGTCCAACACATGTCCCTCTCTGCAGAGAGAGCTGGCAAGATGTGAATCCACCAGGTACCCATCGGCATCCAGCCACGTTCTGATCCCCAAGGGTGGTAGAACAGCAGCTGCATGAAGAAAGATGCTTCTGGTGATTTTGCTGTTTCTTACCACAGCTGCTGTTCTTCCCACAAGGGACTGCAGCCTAGATCTGGCCTTAGCCAACACAATTCTACTGCTTAGCATGGAATGTGGAAGTTTTTCTGGCAAAAATTAATAGTTGGTGCCACTGAAAAAATAAGTTTGTTTTTATTTCATTTCCATTGTGTACCTATGGCTTTCAGGAGCCCCGTGGTGTGCAGCAGTTACCACTTCTGAATCAAGATTACCTCTTAAAAACGGAGTCACTAAATAGCCTTTAATATTCTCCTTTCTTCAAGCTATAGAGAAACTACTATGGGTAAAGTCTTCCCAAAATGATGAAAAACCTAATATGGAGAGAAAGGATCCACCCGATGCTTGTCCTTTCAACTACAGTTGGTTAAGGGATTTCACTCCCCATATTAAACTCTCAATAATGGAAGAAAGTGAGTCTCAGTAAAAGAACTAGGTATCTTTTGCATTGCATTTCTTTTGTATTGGGCTGAACAGTTTTCTCTCACACACCAACAAAAAACAAAACCAAGAATGATGACGTATGAATCTCTCCTTAAAATATTAAATATGTATTTTATGAAGTGGATGTATTGACTCCAAGAAGGCTAATCCTCAAGTAAGAGGCCCCAAATCTCATCCTCATTTTAAGTAATAAGGCAAGTTTTGAGAAAGCAAGCTCACCAAAGACTGAGAGAGACGTTGCCCACAAACCTTCCCCAAGTGGGTAGAACAAGGAATAAAGGCAGCTGGAGTGGAGACTGCAGGGCTTGTGACATACAGCCCTCCTGTCTGAAACCAAACAAGCATTTGTCTGCAGCAGAAACAACTCACTGCTAGTGATCATGTGAGGGGCTCTTGGGGCCAACCAAGGAAATGCTGAAGTCAAGAGAGAAGACACTCTCTTCAAAGAGTATGAACAAAAGAGGCCAGCAAGAACAGCTTTCAGAAAAAAAATCTTTGCAAGCTTTTGAATCTTCGGTAAGGAGAAAAGAGGCTGATATTGGAAAGGGGATGTAGTTATTATCTGCAAAGAAGACGCTGACCCAAATCTGGGCCAGTCATACTGCATATGCTGACTCGCAAATGCCAGTCTTCTGGGAGCAAAGATCAGAAAGGGATAACACAGCTGCCAAGGTTCACCAGGCTCCCAGACAGGTATTCTTTCCTTCTCATCTCTGTGGAGACTGATAATATCACAATGAATTACTACCAATCTATTCTCACAGAGTGAATTACTGGCTTTGGAAATGGGGTTAATAAAGGTTAGTTTTCTAGGATTACCTGGGGGATGGACTGAATTCCCTCAAAAGAGCCTTCTCCTTTAAAAAAAAAATAAAGGAAGAATAAAAACAAAATTGTGGTTTGTGCCATCCACCAAATCAAATACAAGATGTTCATGATGCTTCTTATAAGGAAACTGATTCTCTCAAAGGGCATTATGTTGTAACTGATAGGGCTTTAATTACCCCGACATGCGCTAGGAGACAAAAATGGACCTCTTAGCCTGTTTTGTGGTAGTTTTCTCCTTCAGAAGGTGGAAGAAACCACAAAAGGATCCATTTTTGATTTGATTTAAGCAACAGGAATAATTTAATCAAATAAGTGGCAGTAGCAGAAACCCTGGAAGACAGCAATAATGTTGGAGATCTTGATTTTAAGTGAAAGTAAACTGGGTATGCGGAACACAAATATTGGAATTTTTTTTTTTAATTTATATGCCGCCCTTCTCCGGAGACTCAGGGTGGCTTACAATGCGTTAAGCAATAGCCTTCGTACTTTTGTATATTTATACAAAGTCAGCTTATTGCCCCCACAATCTGGGTCCTCATTTTACCTACCTTAGAAAGGATGGAAGGCTGAGTCAACCTTAAGTCTGGTGAGATTTGAACTTGCAATAATTGTAGGCAGCTGATGTTAATAATAGTGCTTTAGTCTGCTGCGCCACCAGGGCTCTTCAGAAAATTCATAATCTACAGTCAAATCCCAGACAGGAAGCCTGAAAGATGGCATACATTCCTCCAAAGAAGGATTTCAAAATTACAGTTGAATTCCAGCAACAGGGAAAAGAGAAGATGGTATAAAAATAAATGTGATTACATAAGAAGCTCAAAAATGTTAATTATGGGCATACAAAAATAAGAGAAGGATTAGGAAGATGGAATTTAAATGTAAAGACAAATGTCAATGCAGAAAGTTGTAAAATTGTATATAACTGTTAGTTTTGTATTTTAGCGTTTGATATATGTGTATGTTCTTTTTTCCTTTTTTGTATTTCTTTTGTTATTGTGTTTTTGATTTTTAAAAATGTAAAATACCTAATAAAACTATTTTTTAAAAAAAGAAGAAGCTCACTAAAAAAATCTGAAAATGCCCAAAGACTTATCTTAGCTATGGAAAGGCCACCGAGGAAGCATACAGTATATACAATACTTTGATTCAAAGGATGCTATCACAAAAGCTAAAGTTTGGTTCCTGCCGTTCCACACATACACACTCACAAATGCACACACATGTGCCCCAGATAACGTGATACAAATGCTGGGGAGGCATGCCTGCTCTTCCCATCCCAAAGGAAGCAAGGAAGGAAAATCTCTTACCTGACTTTGATCCCAGGTTTTTGTGGGAAGAAGCTCTGAGCCTGATAAGATGTTCCCTGTGATGTAGAGGAAATCCCTGGGACAGGATTCCTGGTCTACCATATTGAGGCAGGGAACGGCAACCTGCTCGAAGCCCCGGGAGATGTCCCTGGGAAGAGAAGGCATGGCAGCAGGCGGGCAGTGCTGAGCGCCGTCCGCAGTCTGAGAAGTGCCCGTCAACTGGGAATATATTTTTGTGAGATGGGTGGCAATATAGACATGATGGGCAGAAGAGAGGGAGTGAGAAAGTGTGACTGACTCACCTGCTGAGTATCTGCTCTACCTGACCTGGCAACTGGGCAGAGAAGGCCTGCAGAGCCCTGCAAGAGGGGGAGCTGAGCTGGGTGCATTGCTGGGGCAGCTGCCCTGCTTTGTTTTTCAGAGAGACTGCGCCACAGGCCAGGAAAAGGCTGCAAGATCAGAAGGAGGTCAGGGCCCTGGGCTTTGTGGCCCTGAGGAGAACTCCAAAGAACTCCATACAGTCAAAAGCATCTTATTTCAAAATCTCTCCCATTCCACAAGAAACCCCTCCCATCCATCCTTGGAAATCTTGGGACACAGCTAGGATTGGAATGTCCCAACAACCAAAATGGGTTTCTCACCAAGAGGGATGAGCGTAGACAACTGCCCCATAGACCTAAAAGACTGAGCAATTAACCCAAAGGCAATTAAGCCTTTGGAGGAAAGGCTTCAGCTTTCCTCCAAAGCTCTACCCTGTGTAGTGACCTAACTATGTGAAGATCCTCCCGCCTACTTATCTCACCTGAGGCATTCGTGGCATTTCTCTTGGGCTGCCAGGTGAAGAGGTGAGTTACCCAAATGGTTTGTTGCATTCAAGTCTGAGCCAGCTTCCAGCAGCATCCTAGCAATGGTGGGTGAGCCGAAATAGGCCGCCCTGTGCAGGCAAAGATTCCCCTCCTACATGGGGTCAGAAGGGCAGAGACCCACAATTGAGTTGGCTGAAGGCCCTGTTCCGAGCATATTTCTTCTTAGGCAGCCCTGAAATCCCAGCCCCTTGGGAAGAGCAGTGGGAGAGGGAGAGGCCCTCTGTCAAACTGCTCCCCTTCTCAAAGGTTGGATAGATGAGATCTGCAGACCACTCTGATGAAGGGAAGAACTTCCAGATAAGTAGAACAGGGCTGGGTCAGTCTGGAGGGCTGTTGAAAAGTTGCTTCCCTTTGTTGGACAGGGCCCAGAAGTAGGGACCCTCTGCCCCCAAGACTCCCTCCTTTATCTTTGCAGGGTTGTTGAGGCTCAATGGCCCACTGCTACAACATCCACGAAGCTGAGCCTGGAGGTGCAGTTGGAACCAAGCCAGGTGTGACTCTGTGGCTCTTTGGGGCACCTGGCTGGGTCTTGCCTCTTTCCAGCCCTTTCAAGATGCAGCCCTCTTGGTTTGTATGAGGCAGTTGCTGAATGTACCCCCTTCCCCTTCCCTTCCCCCACAACCCCTATCTTGCACACACTTTGTCACGGACATCTGGGTCTGCCCCATGGGACAGCAACAGCTCCACCAGTCTCTCGTGTCTGTATTCTGTGGCCCAGAAAAGTGGGGTTCTGCCAGTGGCATCCTGGAAGAGAAACAAATGACCCAAAGCAAAGGGCAGTCTCAGTGGATGCAGGAAGGGAGGAACCCCCCCCCCCCCCCCCCCACCGGGTTCTTGCTGCATTGCACTACCTGGCTGTTCATGGCCCCTGTTCCCTGGGAGAGGAGCTGCTGGGTCATGTCATAGCAACCCTTCCTTGCAGCTGCACACAAAAGGGCCGCCGTCTCATCTTCCTCCTGCTACAGGAGATGCTCAAAACAATTAGAAATCTCCCGGTTTATCTTGCATTGACACTCGCATACACACGGTTCCCCCAACTGGCCTTGGTTGAACTCAATTGCTGGGCAGGACCTCAGTTTAAGCAGAGGCAAAGCTGAGCCAGGCAGCCTGAATGAAGCCTCTCACCGGTGCTTTAGAGGCCAAGAGGAAGGGAGGCTGGCGCCATTCTGGAGAGCTTTCGGCCACTCCCTTGCTCCCCTTTACCTGTCTTTCAGGAGACTCTCTGTTAAGGCCCGACTCTTTGCTTTCTGCAGGGAGGAATTCACAACAGATACAGAGTGATATATTGCTGCAGGAGGCTGGGTCCTACCCCACCCCCTAGAAAGCAGCCGGTTATATGCTGCCTGGTGGATTATGGACCACCTGACTTGCTCTGCATCTGAGACAGTCCATCCCCACCTCTCAGTTCTGCCCCCCATTCCAAACTCAGGTCTGCCTCACCATTCAGGCCCATGCTGCTTCCTAGCAACACTAAAAACTGTTAAAGAATTCAGCAGTGATGGACATTCCACAGAATGGTCTTGGGTTCTGCTCAGGCTGGGTAGTACAAGAGGGAGATCTTACCAGAATATCTTGGTCCTGAAAAGTACCATTGCCACCTCCTCCTCCTCCTCAGGGGACTGCTGAGAACATTTTAGAGAAGACCTTCCAGGCACAATGCACTGTCCCTAAAGATCTGCTGGGAAGCCATGGAGCTCTCCCCTCCAACCCTCTTGCATTTCTGAAAAGAGGGCAGGAGCGAGGAGCAGCCTTCACTTGGGCTTCTGTCTCCGTGGGGCAGCCACCGTTGAGAATGCCCATGACTCCCTTCAGATCCTGGGCTCCTTATGGATCTCTGCCCTCCCATGCTAGCAGATGCGTCATAGCTTTGCTTCAAGAAGCCAAAGCAGCTTCAGACTCTCCTGGGTCTCCCACTCTGGCCCCAAAGAACAACTGGACAGAAGTGCAGCTAAAGCTCTCATAGCTCAGAGGTCTTCAGGGGCTGCTCTGAGCAACTTTCCTTCTAACTCTACCTGAAAACCCGGAAGAACCAGCAGAATAGCCACGGGAGCCCCAAGCTGGAGGGCCTTCCTCTTGACAAGGAGAACAAGGGCTCCTTCAGGCAGCAAGGTCAGAGCAAGCAAGTTGGCAGGTGGAGGTTCCTGGTCGTGATTGGCAGAGCCATTCACCAAGAGCCACGTGTCTGGGCACAGGGGCCTTATCAGGGCCAGCCCTGCTCTGCCTGGCATCTCTGGGTCCGTGTTGGTATGCTGAGTTCCACTGTTCACACCGCCATGGGTTACCTGCTGCTCTTGTGGCTAGCCGTAATTTCCCTTCAGCCTGCGAGGACACAGGTGGACAACAGCTGGGTGGAGGAAGAAAACATCTTGGTGCTGAACCAGCACAATTTTGCCAGGGCTTTGCAGACATATAAGCTACTCTTGGTGGAATTCTGTGAGTAGAGTACTGGTGGAGAGGAGGAGGAGGAGGAGCATGGGAGGAACCTGGAAATCTTCATAGGGCTCTCTTGGGACCTCTGTAAGGCAGATGCCACCTTATTGCAGGGGAGAGCAGTCTTCTGGGGGAGGGGCAAACTTCCCATTTGAGTGAAGAGAACTGAATCTGCGCAAGTCTCAGGTACCAGGCGGTGCCATCATGGTGCCATTTATGGCCTCAGAAGGCAACCCTTGTTCTTCCTGCTCCCTGCTGCTTTGGGGACAGCCAGTACACAAGGCTGTACCTGTTTGAACAAACTATCCCACAAACCACAAATCGGATCTTTATATAAAACAGCATTTGTTCCCAAAAGAGCCAATGGCCTGCAAATACCCCAAGCCAATCCCTATAGCAGCTTAGATTGGAGAACATACCAGTGGTGAAATGTAAAATTTGTTACTACTGGTTCTGTGGGCGTGGCTTGGTGGTAGTGGGTAGTGACTCGGTGGGTGTGGCCAGCTTTTTTTTTTTACTTTTAAAAGCATTTTTTCTACAACCTTAAGAGGTTGCAGAAAAAAAATGCTTTTAAAAGCCTCTGACGATCCCAGCTGAGCCGTGCGATCATCAGAGGCTTTTTTTTTTTACTTTTAAAAGCATTTTTTCAGCCGAAGAGGTTGTAGAAAAAATGCTTTTAAAAGAAAAGAAAAAAGCTTCTGATGATTGCGCAGCTCAGCTGAGCATGGGCAGGGATTTTTGCTACCGGTTCTCCGAACCACCCGCCACCATCACTACTGGATTGGGCGATCCGGTCCGAACCAGGAGCATTTAACCCCTGGAACATACAGAGTGGTGCATATTTGGCACAAGGTGCGCACCATGCCTCCCACTACCTGCACATCTGGCACTCATTCTACGAGCCTGACAGTTAGTTCTTGGCCAGCTCCAAGCAACTGCTCTTTGTTACAACTTCAGTTGGTAGAGGTTGGCTCTCACTGGTCTTAATACACTGGTGTATTGTGAGCCGTCCTGGGTCTTCAGAGAGGGGCGGCATATAAATTGAATAAATAAAATGAAAAAGAATAAAAATAAATAAAATCCAAAGTCCCTCAAGTGACCTGTGTTGGTATGCTGAGTTCTTGGGCCTTGGAAGCTGTCAGACCCACAGAGAAGCCAACCTCACCTTTGTTATAACCTTAAGCACTGCTCTTATCTTGTCCTGCAATGCTCGAGATTGGAGATGTTAGTGGTTGGGTTGGTTCGGCCTTTGAGCTATGCCTCTTTCCAATGATGCCCTGCAGGAAGAAGCACTTTCCTTTTCCGTCACTCAGTCTCACTAGGTGCCGCCACCCCCCCACCCCACCCCCCACCCCAAGATTCTGGTATAGAGAGAGAGGAAAGGACTATCACTCTCTTGCGCATCCCGATTTTCAGCTGCTGCTCTTCTTGATTGCCTCTCTTCTCTCTCCCTCAGACGTCCCCTGGTCGAGGCATTGCCAGGCCCTGGCCCCAGAATATGCCAGAGCAGCCATGTTGCTGAAGGAAGATTCCCTAGTGAGACTGGCCAAGGTCGATTGCACCCAGGAACAGACACTGAGGGCAGAGTTTGGAATCACGGGCTACCCTGTCCTCAAACTCTTCCGAGATGGAAACCGCACCCACCCCATGGATTTCCCAGGTCAGCCAGGAAGTGGGTGAAACACAACCAGCTCTAGCAGAGGAACCCACTGCAGGGGATTAGCAGAGGAGAAACCATCACCAGCATCTTCCTTGGAATCTGATGGAAACCTGCCATTCCTAGACCTTTGCAGTGGGCACCTGCCAGCACCTACTCCCTCTCCCTCTCTCTCTCTTATGAGCAGCCCAGTCTTTTGTTTCCCTTTTATTGTTATCGAGTAAGCATGGTTTTTTTTCAACAGAGGAGCAGAATATCTGTTCCGTGGACATTACAGTAGTCTTTCAGCCACTGCTCAGATTTCCCCATATTCTCTGATAAGTGCCATGGTCCTTTTGTTCAGAGTTGTTGGTGAGGAAGGGGGTTGACAGGCATCCTCTCAACTCCTCCCCTGGTTCCCATGCTAGGTGAGCAAGAGGCTGCGGACATAGTGGAGTGGATTAAACGGAAAGCCGGGCTCAGTCTGGTGCTGCTCAAAGACGTTGATGAAGTGACTGCTTTTGTGAATCTCCACAATGTTGTGGTAGTTGGATTCTTCCAGGTAAATGACATCCCATTCTTTTCCCTTTTGAAGCTGCCACAGGCAAGACATACTTTCTCTTCCAAATTTCACCCCTATTCACTCCCTGAACTGGAGGGGGCGCCTCAAAAATAACCACAGCCTTTGAACCTTTTCCGGGGGTGGAAGATGTAACCAGGGATTTCAGTTGTTGTCCAGGGGCAGACTTTGTCCAGAAAGCAAAGGGTGCCCTCTCTCCTGGCCTCACACTGCAGCCCTTCCTCTCTCCGTGCTGGTGATCTCCAGAGTTGCCTCTGCCTGTCCCGTTCTCTCTAGGATCTGCACGATCCAGATGTGGGTCTCTTCAGTGATGTGGCCAGTGACACTCCTGAGATAGCCTTTGCCATCACGGACAACCCGCTGCTCTTCCAACAGTACAATATTACTGAAGACACCATCTGTCTCTTCCGGAAGGTAAGATGGTGCAAGTATCTTCAAGATGCTTTTAAAGGGATGGTGCAGCTGCACTTCTGCAGAAACTGTTTCCTGACTGATATATTTGCAGGATGGTCAGCGGGTAGATTTCTTGCCTGACACAGAGCTAGGCCTGGATGGAAAAGACCTGGCTCAATTCATCTCTGTGCAGAGCCTAGACCTGGTGATGGAGTTCACAAATAAGGTCAGGCAGCTGAGCTCCCATCAGGGAGACCACAGCCTCCTTGCTGGCAGAGGCAGCCCCTCCCCTCTCTCTTGCATGTGGTGGCATCCATCAAAGGGACTGCAGTGGGCAGTTTATCCATTGTTGCAGTGTGGGGGCAACTCCTTCAGACCTGCTGTTTTGCTACCCTGTGCAGGAGCCCCCTGCCTGTGTCCTGTTAGGTCAGGATAATTCAAAGGTCAAAGAGGAGAGGAGGAATGCTCCAGACCTTCAGGATGGCCCGCCTGCTTACCCCAGCTGCACCATGTGTGCTTTTTGTGTCCAATGGCTTGAGGTCTCTCTACCCAGGGGAGGTAACTGCCAATGGTTTCCCCCTAGAACTCCTCCAAGATATTTGGGGCAAAGATCCCAAACCATTTGCTGCTCTTTATCAACAAGTCAGTGGATTCCCAGCTAGGGCTCCTGGATTCCTTTCGAGAGGGCGCCACTGCATTTCGGGGTCAGGTGAGTCCAGGAGGGAGATGGGAGAGCAGGTGGAACTGCTCCTGCGGAGACCATGCCCTCTCCCTTCCTCTTTGGAAGGCAGTTCTACTCTTGCTAAGCCAGCTAGGGGGAGGGGAAACCCAGCTGGCTGTAATGAAACAGCCACCAGGGCAAATTCGTACCCATCATCCGTGGCTGGGGGCTTCTGTCTGAGACCACAGGTGCTTTTCCTGCTGGTGGATGTCACTGGGGAAGGGGCCGGCGTATTGCAGTACTTCGGCCTTAAGGCCCACGATGCTCCCGCCCTCCGTTTCATCAATATTGCGGCCAACAAAAAATACCGGCTAGCCACAGAAGGACTCACGGCTCATGGCCTCCACACCTTTTGCCAAGAGGTTCTGCAGGGGAAAATTCAGGTGGGCAGTCTTTGACATCTGGCAAAGGGGGGGTATCACCCTGGTGCATGTGGACATCTGGGGAGGAAGGCAGACCCCCTAGCCAGGTCTTCCTTATTCCGTCTCCAAGACCTGAACAGGAAAGGCCCTTCTGGGCATGCTTCCGGGAAAAAGCTGCAGATGCATTTCCATGAAAAAAAAAAAACCCAGGCGTCCCCCATCCCCCCCAAGGCCACACAGTTTAGGACAAACCAGAACATACCCCTTTGCCAATTAAGTACTACCTTTCTCAGCAGCTGAATCTCTGGTTTGCCTTCTCTTCCAGCCCCACCTGATGAGTGAGGAGATCCCCAATGACAGGAATGAGAAGCAGGTGAAAGTCGTGGTGGGCAAGAACTTTGAGCAAGTTGCATTTGATGAAACCAAAAACGTGTTTGTGAAATTCTGTAAGCATCTGGACCTCAAACACAGACAAAGCTAATGCTAAGAGAGACCCTGGAGGGCAGCTCCAGGAAGTGGAGGGTCCCTGGGCAAACCAACTAGCCAGATACCTCCCACAAGAAAGGCCCGAAGGCTCACATATGAGGCCACAGCCCCTCTGTGCCCAGTCAGACTTTCTGGACATCAAAGCAAATGGGACTAAAAACCAGTCCTGCTCCACTGGCTTAAATGCGTGTCTGAAACTGTATGGATAGCTTTTCTAAAGGTCCCAGCATGGCCTGAGATTGGGGGTGGGTAGTTTTTATGACCACAGGGCCTGCCAGACGGGTGTACAGTTGCATACCTGCCCAAAGGGTTTTACCTTTCCCAGAAGCAATTAACTCTCAGTCGGGGGGGGGGGAGAGTGTTGTATAAAACACCAACTGAATTCTTCCCCCCCACCCCCGCCTGCTGGCTGCATTCCAGAACAGGCTTTGATGCAACTGGGACAGTCCCACACTGAATCCCCAACCAAATGTTAGATTTAGGCAGGTGGATTGTGCACTGCAGCCACAGACAATCCGAGCCCAAGCTTGTGCAACTCACAACCGAGGGCAGTGTTCAGCATTTCTAATCTGAGAATATCTGCCTCCACAGATGCCCCTTGGTGCCCCCACTCCAAGGCACTGGTCCCGGCCTGGGAAGAGTTAGGAGAGAAATACAAAGATCATAATAATATGGTCATTGCAGAGATGGACGCCACAGCCAACGAAGTGGCAGACCTGACCATCCGTGGCTATCCAACCCTGTACTTCTTTCCCGCTGGGCCGGGCCGGCAGGTACAACAGCATTTGGCCTGTTCTAAAGACATGGCTGAGGGAGGAGGGCCTGGCTGCTGGTTGGGGGAAGAGGGAGGTGGGGCCATGCTGACTGAGGGTTTCCTGCCCAGGTGATTGAGTACACAGGTGGGAGAGATCTGGAGAGCTTCTCGAGGTTCCTGGAGGGAGGATGGAAGGTCCTCTCCAACAAAGAGACTGGAGTAAGTACCAGACCCCTACAGAAGAGGGGCTACCCAGCTTTCCCACTCAGCCCAATGCAAAGGGAAGGTTCTGTTTAGAGAGGCCATTTGGAATGCCTGGAAGAGTCTTTTCCTCGAGGTTCCACCTGGACTTTGGGGAGACACTCCTGGGATGTCTATGCTGTAATTCCCAGTGATATAAGCCAGCTTCTAGGTCTTGCTAAAATGTGGATTCTAGTCCTTGGTTCCAAGGTTCTCAATGAAAATTCATGCATGGTACTTTGGACAATCACCCTGAGAGGGAGGGAGGGCAGGGAGGAAACAGTATCCCAGTCTCAAACAAAGAGGGGCTTCTTCCTCAGCCTGCCTTCTTCCCTCACCTTCACTTCAGCCTTAGCTTCCTAAGTCTGTTTTGCAAACAAACAGTGCTGTGCCTATATGCACAGTGGTTGCTGTTGGAGAACAGTCCATACCTGGGTACTTGAGTAAAGATTGTCTCTGCTTTTCTAGGCTGCTGAGACCCCCAAAGAGCCACAGCACGATGGGATGAATCCACCAGAGATCACAGAGTCCAGGGAGGAGTTATAAATCCTGATGGCCCCCTCCTGAGCCTCACTTTCTACAGGAGGTCCCCACAGCGTCATAAACAATATAAAGACCTTGAATTTCAAAAGATTGTGTGAAACTCACGTGTTTCAAGCCAAGCATACAACCCCCCAAATAATCAGTTACTTTCCTATATGTGTTTCTACTCTATGGGCCCTCTCAAATACTTTCCAGAGCTGGTTCCTTCCATGTGAATCCATCCACTCTAGTCCCTTCCCTCGCCTTGCCCTGCCACAGAAAAGCTCTGCAAAATAATCCGCGGGGCAGCAAGGGTAGCCTGGGCAGAAGGCAGCTGGTTGGTGCCACTTGTTGCCAGCAGATGCATTAGTGTCTAACGAGCCATAAACATGACTGCTACAACTCTCAAAATCAGCACATCTTCAGTCTTTCTGGTGCTCTGGACAAGGCAGCAACTGAGGCCCGGCCTGACACCAAAGCAGAGTCAAGTCACAGGCTCAGAGGTCTCCTAGTCTGCACCCACTAGGAAGATCAAACTGCTCCAAAATCTGAGAAGTCAACCCTCGCTTGACCACTGGTCAATCCTCTCCCCTTGAGAACCGAATTCTCAGCTCGTACAGACTCTGTGGAGCAATGCACACATGTGCCCAGAAACCATTGGAACATGGGCCTTTATTCCATTGTTGTACCTGTAAAAAGATCAATCAATACAAGTCAACGTGAAAAAAAAGTTCCAGAATTGCCAGCCATTTGCTCAGCCGCTGAGGCCTGAGCCTTGTTTAGAAAATGTACATATCTACAACTGAACCCTTCAGAAAAAGGGGAAATGAAGATCCGGCTCCAGCCGGGCACTACACATTAAAATGTCCATCCGATGCGGAACACAACCCCAAGGCCAGAACCCAAACCAGGAAGGGAGCAAGCAAGCATGAGGTTGGAAGGCACTCGGTGACATTTGCAAGGGGCAGGTGCTGGTGGGGGCAGTCTTGAGGGCTGCTCCACCTCCTCTGCCATGGATATGTGGAGCCCAGGTTGTGTGTGTGTGTGTAGCATGGGGGAGGTCAGTGAAACAGGAAGACTGACAGGCAGGAGAAGTACACAGTTCAGCAAGCAGAAGAGACATCTACTTCTGCCATAAGCCCACTCTCCCCCCCCTCCTCCAGCTGTAGAATGGCAAGAAAATGAGAGAGGTAGCAAGGCATGGGGTGGTCCTAAGCATCTTGGAGTCTTCCTCTGCCCCTCGACAGCATCTGAATAGGAAGACCTACGAGGGGAACACACCAGGTGTGACAAGGTGCAACTCTCATCAAGTAGGCCTCATTCCAAGGCTATTTAAAATGCAAACCAACACCTTGTTCAGTCTGCCTCCCACAAGGGTCTCCAGCTTCTGGCTTGGCCCACCGTCCCATGGTGGAGGTGGCATGGCCGTAATATTGCAAACCCGGGATCATCTCAAAGACAGCCTTTGGTGCAGCTTCTGTCAATAGCTGTGTAATGTTGTAACCCAGCAAGCTGAAGATCCTATATGGTGTGGAGAAAGTTGTGGCTTCCTCAGAGAAGACAAGCAGCAAGGAAGAGCGCTATGGCTGCCAGACCTTTTGGCTCACCCGGGTTAATCAATCTTCTCTACCTTCCCAATTATCTTCTCTTCAAAGATAGGCAGGACTGCATCCTCCTCTTGAACTTCTTCAAACACAACTCCACAGTCAAACTCATCACTGACTTTCTTGAAGTAATACCTTTAAAACAGGGATGGGAGGGCAATTCATAGGAGAAGGTTTTGCCCCAAAGGGACCATCAGCTTTGCAGACACCCCACAAGGTGGCCATCTGGGAGATGCTTCTAGGGGAGTTTGCTATAGCAAACCCATCTAGGACCATCTATAAAGCACCAGAGCTACAATAATGACCCCAGCCCAGATATCTAGAATATCAGAGCCCCATTTTTTCCCTTTCGTCTTTGTACTTGCTTAAGAAAACTAATTCTCCATTTTTGCTAACCAAGTAGATCACATAGGCAATTTGTGTTTTAACTTTAAGCTTTCTTCATTTCTCACCCTAGTCTTTTGAGAGGGAAAGCACTGTTTTCTGAGCCATTCCCCAAGTATCACCACCGAGTACCACCATTGAGCTGTGGTGGCGCAGTGGTTAGAGTGCAGTACTGCAGGCTACTTCGGTTGACTGCTGTCGGCTGTCTGCAATTTGGCAGTTCAAATCTCACCAGGCTGAAGGTTGACTCCCTCCTTCCGAGATGGGTAAAAATGAGGACCCAAATTGTTGAGGGCAATAGGCTGCCTCTAAACTGTTTAGAGGGAGCTGTAAAGCACTGTAAAGCTGTATATAGGTCCAAGTGCTACTGCTATTGCTATTCTGCCTCTGGATCCCCAGCTCATCAATATGATTCTCCAGCTACCAGGAGTTGTTGTTTTGCTCTGGGCTGAAGGGAGACTTAAGGGAAGCCCAGGGGAATGGGTGCATGCCGACCTCCCGTGCCAGTTCCTTGCCCATTCTTACCTGTAATTCCCCTTCTTGGTCAGCAGTTCCTTGAACTGGCCCAGCGTGACCACCCGGCCTTTGACAAGGGTGCGGTAGGGGATCGGCTCTCCACAGAAGTAATACGCCACCACAATATTCTCACAGGGCTGGGAGAAACCGCCGCCCAATCTCTTGGGTGCCTTCATTCTAGGAGGCCAAACACAGAGTGAGTGGCAGACATATTGCGGCACACCTGGCTGGCTGTCTCAGCAAGGGAGACTCCTCTTCGGAGGAGACTCAGCACAAGAGCAGCCAGCCGCAATGAGGGCATATGGGAGAACTGGTGCACCAAAGGGGGTCAGGACTGGGGAGAGCAAAGGGGGGGACAAAGCTTTCTTGGGGAGAAGCCAAACCAATCCCTGGCAAGACCATCAGCAGATAGAGGTGCCCCGTTTTTGCAGATCCTGCTTCCTCTCTCTTGCTCCAGCCTTAACTGGGCAGACAATTTCTGAAACTGATGTTAGAGAGGTGCATTGCTTGTGGCACCCCAAGGCTTCTGACTGCCATTTCCCTCAGTCTTTGCCAAAAGCCCTTCACCACAGGAGTTGTGGCAAAGAAAACCAGGAGGAGAGTCCTCTTGCCTCTTTCCAAAAGGCCCGATGTGCTGCTAACAGTTCCAGAAGGTCAGCCTACTCTCTCTCAGCACCCCATTCCAAAGAACAATAACGGCAGCAGGGACAGCCCAATTCCTCTTCTCCTGGCTCAGCCGATTCTGCACTCAAAAGTCTGGCAAGCTAAGAGTAACTGATCCTTAAATTCTCTGGGGACTTCACTCCACGCAACAGCCTCAATTTGGAAGCTGCTTGCAACCAATGCTTCCATAGTCTCTATGGGAAAAGAACAATTCCCAACCCCTGCAGTCTTTCCGCTGGCTGAGCCACCTTGGGCACAGTAGCAAAGTGACTCTCCCAGCAATGCTACCACGTGGACACCTTTCTCAAGCCCCAACTCAAAACAAACAAACAAAAATCACCCTTGCAGGGAACCCAAAAAGAATTTTAAACCTGACGGGAGTCACAGACCTGAGAACTCAATCAGCCCAAATAATAACGGCTCCTTCATGGGCCATTACGAGCCCAATCTGTGAGAACCAGCTGGACACCCCACTGGAAGCTGGGCGCAGAAGGGCTGGAAGAGGCTATGAAACACAATTTGGCCCAACAGCCATCTCCAACCACCAGACTAGCCTGGGGAGGACGGACTAGCTTTGAGAGAAGAGGGAGAAGAACCTAAAGAACTGCAAAACAGACTCTGAGAGACCCAGGTTGGAAACGGTAACTACATTCGGCACTGCCACCCAACTGCCCTAACAAATGAATGGTCACCCTGGATAATCCCATGAACATATCGGAAGAACAACATGGACTTTAGACAATTCTCTTATTTTACTCTTATTTCCTCTGATCAAGGATCCATTTCAGGGGCCACAAACCAAGCCTTTCCAGCCTGAAAGGCTTGGGAGAGGGGATGGGGGGAAGAGAGAAGAAAATCAGAAGCTTCACTGCCAGCCAAGTGGAGGGGCTTTTCCACCATGGGCGCAGAGAGTACCAACCGGTCCCTCTTCTCAGCCTCTCATCTTTCTCTTCTGGCTTCCTGGCCTTCCAAACCCGCAGGGGAGATCCCTGGGCCAGGAGGCAGCATAGAGGGCCTGGGACATGCATAGCTGGAGCAGCAGCAGGGGGCGCTCCTCATGTTCCCGGCACTGAAGTGGGCCAGGCCCAGTTCCTTTCCCTGGCAAGCTCTACCCTCAAAAGGCAGCTCAGTGGGGCCCAGGGGGAGAGTGCGGGGCAATGGTGGGTTTCAACCAGTGTTATCCCAGTTCGCATCATGCACGCGCTTCGCTCGCACGCACACCAAACTTGCGCTCCACACAAGCGGAGTGTATTATGGAACAGCTGAGACATGGCAATCCGCTCTGCCGCGCCTTTCAGCTAGGCTAAAAATGACCAAATAAAAGTTATCTATAACACAGGGATGGGTGGGAGGGCCAACCTAACCGTCAGTGAGAACCGGTTCGCTCTCAGTTCACCATCATCGCTACCAGTTTGTCCGAACCAGCCCAAACCAGTAGAAACCCACCACTGGTGGGGGGGTTCCTGGGGCAACTACCAGAGAGGTCCCTTTCCTCCTTCCTGCTTACCTCTGCTTGGCAGCTGGCTTGCCAGTTCTCTTCTCCTCCTCCTCCAATCGCCGTCGGGCTTCCTCCAGCTGTGTCAGAGGGTTGGGAGCAGGGTTGGGGGGCATGGTTGGGTCCTGGATGAAAGGGTGGGATGGCTGCACAACATTTCGGAATGAGATCCAGGGGTGCACAGCCATAGGGCGATCGATGGGAACCGGGCGGGGTGGCTCGTGAGCCAGTTGCTTCTTTGTACCCGATGAGCTTCAAGGAAAACAAACAGAAATTGACGGAGTGTCCCAAGACTACTGTAGCAAACCACAGATGAGAGCAGCAAGTAAAGCAGAACTGCTGGATAAAAAAGACCAGCCTCCAGCTGCCTGTCCGAAGCAGATAGCCTTATCACCACCACCCCGAGGGAAGACAGCAACAGCAGGTGCTTCCGTCTCCCGCTTGAGGAGAAGACATCCTCCCCACTCAGACATGGGAGGCTGGGGGGAGGGGAGAGGGATCTGCAAAAGGTCTGCAGTGAAGGCTTCCAGGACTCCGAAAAGAGTCCCTCAGGAGCCCAAGCTGAGAGGAGGATGAATCTGAGAGCTGGTTCTCTCCCTTCCGCCTCCTGCAGTACAGAGCAAGCCCATCCTTCCAGAGCCCAGTGATAACAAAGGCCAGAAATCAAGCAACATTGTCTGTTCTTAGGTGAAGCATCTGGGAAAGGGGGCTACAGCACCTTGTTTGCTGCTCCGGTTGTGGAAGGGAGAAATCAAACAGCAGGGAGGGTAGCCCAGAGCAGCAGTTCTGCCAACGTGAGACTCAGCACCAGATGCCCATTTCATCATCTTCCCCAGGCAGCGTCTTTGGTTTGGCTTCACAGCCATATGCAACCTTGGCACCTCTACCATTTGCCCACATTGGAATCTGACATGCCTTTCCCTTCCTGACCCCACTCACCTGTGGGTCGTCTTCCGATGCCTGCTGATCTCCTTTTCACCTTCTATGATCCACTGCATGATCTTCTGGTTCCTTTCCAGGTCTTCTGGAGACCCAGGCACATCGTAGCTGGCACCTTCATTTTTCCCAGGATCTGACTTCTTGGCACTCCGCTTGGCGAGCAAGCCAGCTTTCCCACTAGCCAGAGGAGGAGAGAGAAATAGGCAGCTGAGATCTTCCCCTTGTCACTTCTCCCAAAGCATGGGAAGAAACAGCGCTTTCTGGGGCCAGCCTGGCCTTGACCCTACTGCAGCCTGGTTCTCCCAATACCACACCAACTGCCCTGAGAAGCTGAGGCAACGTCTGCAGCCCCCTCTCTTCCTGCAGGGCTTCAGCAAGCTAAGAAAGAAGCACTGTAACCCCCCGCACTGCACGCAAAGGCTCTAGCGGAGTGCCGAGAGGCTCACACCCACCCTCAGCCCTGGAAACTCCCTGGGACACTTTGGACTAACAAGTTCTCTCAGCCCCACCTACCTCACAGGGTTGTTGTTAGAGGGATAAAATGAAGGGAAATATCCACCTAAACTGCCTCGAACTCCTAGAGAAAGATGAAATATAAATCTGACTAATAAATAACAGCCAAATTCACCTGTAGGCCATGGCATCCAGAGGGCCTGGGGCCAGGCCCATGCTCTCCCCGTAGGCCCGGGACTTGGTGGTACAGCTGTGAGGGTCCACACTCCAGGAGAAAGGGCCCTGCATGCGCTGGCTGGTCGCTTCTTCCGCTGTCTCCTTGGCTTTCAGTCCGGCATGGTGATGGACCACATGGTGATAAACATGTTTGTGGTGATAAAGGTTGGAGGTCTCCAGCTTCAGTCCGGACTTGCTGGCATGCTTGCTGTGGCCCAGTGGGATAGACCCCGTCAGTCCATGCAGCTTGCCAACAAGCCCACTGTCTGGAGATCGGGGTTTGGGGGATTGGCAGCCGGGAGTTTTCATCACTCGCTGCACGTGCTCGTCCAGAATGGTCTCGGGGTTCTCTTCGTGAGCATCGCGCACCTGCAGCTCAGCATAGCGGGGAGCAAAGTGGGGCAAGAGCTGTGTGGGGACCAGCTTGTGGTTCATGAGGGACGGACCCAAGGGGAGGTCTGCGTCTTCCCCTTCTTCCTCCTGTCACAAGACACAGTCGTCAGGTCAGGGCCTAAGGCAACCTGGGCAGAGGGGCCAGAGGAGGTGGCAAAACCCAGGGAACAGGGAGGCAGCCAGGAGCAGCTCCCCTTACCCAGCAACAAGGGAACTCAACCAAGCCAGTCAACTCAAAAGCCAGCTGAAGCCTTCCCATCCAGGGCAATAGCTTTGGATTTTCAGGCCCAGCTCCTCCCCCACCCCTGGCTTTTCTGGAGTCCCCAGGTCCTATTGGGCAGCTGCTCCCTTCCTCTAAGAACCAGGAGCGTGACAAAGGCAGCAACTTCACTCACGGCTTGGACGCGTTTCAGGCGTTCCTCCAGCTTGGCCTCTGCTTCCCGGTCCCTCAGCACTTCCTTGAGGCGGTTAATCAGTTCGGCAGCAAATTTCTGGGGTTCAACATGGATGTCCTTTGGCATTCGGTAAGTTCGCTGTGGGAAAGAAGCATCGGTGTGCAAAGCAACCTGGCCCTCCGTCCTCCCTGGTCTTCCTTTTTGGGGAGGAGCAGGGATAGTTTGAGAATTTCCTCCTGATCTCTGTGCCGAAGCAGAAAAATTGCCTTTCTCCTATGGGTCATTCTGTCCACGCTCAGAAGTTCCCCTGCATGGCAACCCTTCAGAGCAGCAATGGCCAGCTCACCATTTCTCCCCCCCCCCCCATCTGCTTCCGAGGTGCTGCCAGCCACCAGCCTCCCAGAAGTTGCTCTCAAGCAGCAGGGACCCTTAGACTCTGGGAACCTTCCACAAAAGAGCTGAAACGAGTGGCATCAGCTGGCCTGTGCAGTGCCCGTAAAGACTTGCTTGGGGACAGAAATTTCCAGGGACAGAGAGCAGAAGGATTCTGTCTCTTCACTGGCCGAATAATTGTCAGAATTCCCTCTCCACTCCAGGTGGACACATGAGGCTCCAGACACGCCGACAGACTCCACCAAGACAGCCCATAAGCTTCCTCTGGCACCCAAAAAAAAAGAATCCAGACAGAATTTTTTTTGTGGGGGGAGAGGGAGAGGCCAGGTTTGGAGGCACTCACTAAGAAGGGCTAACTGCACCAGCTGGGAAGGGCCTGTGGGAGAGAAAAAGGGGCTCCAAAGTGGGGAGCAACTTTGTAACTGGGTTGACTCAATCTGCTGCTGAGCCCTCAGGCCAGAATCCGCCTGCGCGGCAACTGCTAGACGCCAGGAAAGGAAGACCCTTGGAAACAGGGCCACATCCCCAAAGCGCTTTCTCCCCCTTACCGGAATGTGAGGTAGTGGCACACGTCCATTTGCTTTGGCGCTTTCTTGCATCTCTCTACGATGCTGCTTCCGCAGCCGGTAAGGGGGAACCCCGTCTCTGCCATAAGGAAGCCACAATACATAAACTAAAAGGCTGCTCAGGGGAGAGCCACCCTGGCCAATGCAAGTATGCAAAGCCCAAACACCCATCCGGCAGACCCAGAGCTCCTCTGCCCGAGCAGGACAAAGAGCCTGCCCCCTCCCATTGCAAATGTCCTCCCTCTGTTATGTTACAAGCACCGGTAACACTCTGTTTCCAGACCGGTAAGGAGCCAGGAGACATTTTTATAACCAACACAGCTGCCTTTCTAAAGATGGCTGCTGCGGGCATGGGCCCATGGTTAGAAGAGCTGCTGGAAAGACTGAAAATCTGCCCAGAGACAACCCACCCCCTTGGTTCCACCCCATCCTTTCCAAATACTCACAGGCTGCTATCAGTCAGTGACATGGTGTCAGCATCACTGGACATGCTGTGCTGCTCACTGTCATTGGCGCTGGTGGCTGGTGCCAGGGCATAGCCGGTGTTGACATAATACGAATGCCCTGTCTCCCTCCAAGGCCCAGGCCTGCCAAGAGAAGACCAGGCAATGCTCAGAACCTCACAGCACTTACATCCATGCCGGGAGGACTGTCCCCAACAAAATCCATTCATGCCCATCAGTATGTCGGGGGAGGACAGAACAGAGTCATCTTGGACCACAAGATGGGTGGCGGATGGATGGATGGATGGATGGATGGAAGGAAGGAAGGAAGGAAGGAAGGAAGGAAGGAAGCGCAAGCGTCCATATTATAAACCGATATTCTAAACATTATGATGTTCCCCACTAAAGAGCTCTCATTCTTCTTTAAAGAACTGCTAAAATGTTAAGACTTTTATGGAGTCCTTGGTATTTTCTAACCTTAGTCATTTGCTTGCAGATGTTTCATTATGTAACCAGGTAACACCATAAGTGCAAGTAAGTGGGGGGTTTACTGGCTTGCCCCCATCTACTCAACTGATGTTGCCTAGTTGTGTAATGAAACACCTGCGAACAACCAGACTCAGAAAAGACCAAAAATTATTGTAAAAGGTGCAGTAATTTTGTAACTGTCTTTATCTATTGAGTTTCTTAGGTAATATGAAAAAGGAAAAAAAAGAGCTATGACAGTTTTACAAAATTGAGCTTGGCAGAGCCAAACAAGTCTAGTTTTTTGCAAACTGAGACCAACTGAAGCCAAGTTCTTATTCTTCATTCAACAGCTTTTGCGGTGAGCATCTGACATACATCACTGCCCATGTTCTCTACATGTCCAAGGCCAGACAGCTTCATGTAGCCTTTGGCCAAAAAAGACCAATGTACCACCCCCCCAAGCCCTTTGCTGGTGAGGCAAGAGACCTGGATCCCCAATGTGGGTCTTTGAATGAGGAGAATGGCTTTCCTGAGCAGGATATGAACTGCTTTCTGACAGCCAGGAAGGTCAGCCTGGACTGAAGAGACCAACAGATGATCTGACAGATGAGCACCTATTGTCCCCACCTTCCAGCTGCAAGCATCTTTGCCTCCAATCCTGTGGTCAGGTGAACAGGGGCAAGCTGTAAACAAAAGCATCCTTGGGACTGTGGCTCTCACCTGAACTCCCTCCCCTCGCTGTAATGCCTGGTCCTGGGGGCTGGCTGGCTGGTTGTCTCCAGAAGGAGCTTCTGGGTGAATCTGCTGGAGGAGGCAGACTCCGGATCAGCTGCCACCTGCCCCTCCTCTCCTTCCATGATGTCTTGGTCACATTTCCACTCCTCATCCTCATTCAAGGTGGGCAGGTACCCAGGCAGCCCCTTCCCTGTCCCGGACCCTGAACTCTGATCGCTGTGCACTTTTGGGCTCTCCCCACCTGTCCTTGTATACTCCAAATAAATATCCGACTTCAGGAACAAGGGATAGGTATTCTCTTCAATCATGGACTGGATTTCCGTCTGGGCCTGGTCAAACATGGCCGGGTCAATAAGTTGCTTCAGAACACAATCTTTGATGAAGCTTTTAGTGGCTGGCTTGACCTGCTGGGACACGATCCCGTTATTATCAAGAATGTATTTCTTGTAAATGGCTTTGGCCAGCTTTAACCTTTTCTCCTCCTTGGAGTCGCAGGGCGCCAGCTTCCTGAAGCCGCTGCAGGCAAACCAGAAGTCCAACAAATCTGCACAGCTCTCGTGCTTCAAAAAGGTCCGGAAAAGGTGGATGCCGTCTTGGTCGTCCAGCAAGGAGTGCAAGGACTCTGCCCATCGCAGGTAAGGCGGCGTCGGGGAAGCGCTGCCCTCCGGCTCGTAGCCCAGGTCGAGGTCTGGACGCCGCGGGGTGGCGGTGGTCGTCTCGCCTTTCCCTCCGTCGCCCTTCCCGGCCGAAAAGCCGTGGCCGGGGGTCCGCGGGTCCGCGGAAACGAGGTCGCCCTCTTCCCCGGGGACCGGGGGCCTGGGCGCGTCCTCGGTGAAGCCGCCCCCGAGGTCCAGCGGGAAGCCTTTCTCCTGCGTGCTCATCTCGCGGACGGGGCCCGGCGGCGGCCCGGCTCAGCGCGCCAGCAGGAGCGAGGGGCTCCCGCTGCAACCGTGGGGAAGGCCCGTCAGAGGCGAGAAGGGGCGCTCCTCCCGCGGCCGTCGCAGAAGCCGCCCGGGCGAGCCGCTCCCCGCCTCCCCAGGCCGGGCCCGCAGCTCGCGCCAGACCGAGGCCGCTCCCTTTGTCCGCCCGGCCGGCGGGAGCGGCGGCGGCGCCGGTCAGGCCGCGCACGTGGGGTCGCGACCGGATGGATCCCCCGCTCCCGCGGACTGGACGGGAGGCGGGACGAGGCCCGGGACACTCAACGGAGAGAGGCGGGGGGGCGCCGCGGCCCAGGCGAGGCTGAGAGGGGAGCGGCGCGAGAAGGCGCGGGGCGCCGGCCCCCCATGGCCCCCGGAGCTGTGCCTGCCCGGCCCGGCCCAGCGCAGTTCTGCCGACGGTCGGTAGCGCCTCGCCCTCGCGTCCGCCCTTCCGCGGCGAACGGCGGCCCGACAGCGCCCCCAGTGGCCCGGAGGATCCCGCGGTGGCCGGACAGGAGCAAAGAAAGGAAACCCCGGCACGCTTTCCCTGTGGGCCGGCGCCTCAGGAAGGGCCCGGCTGAAGATCCTCCAAAGCCCCCGAGGGCAGAAGAAGTAACGGGTAGCAGATCATTAAAGAGAGATCCGACTTAGAACTACGGAGAAATTTTCTGACAGTGAGGACCATGGATCAGTCATTTTGCCTCCAAAATTCAATATCGGGCTAATGCAATATCAGGTTTTCAATTCAAGTGTATAGAACATGAAGGATGTGTGCTTCTGTTTTATTTTTATAGGTATACTGTGCACTGAAGATGGCATTTAATTTCGTTGTACGAGGTGCAATGACAATAAAGCAAACTTAACTTAAAAGTTGTGGGTGTTCCTCTTAAATACTGGAGATGTTTAAGAAGAGATTGGACAGCAACTTGTCTGGAATGGTATAGGGTCTCCTGCTGGAGCAGGGGGTTGGACTAGAAGACCTCCAAAGTCCAACTGTGTTAATATTATTACTGTTACATTGACTAATTTTCTCTCTGACAACTGACCCAAGCACTACTCCAGCCCCCCCCCCCCCCAGGTTGGGAATGAACAAGCCTTTTATTTCCTCTGATCAGGAATCCATCTCCATGACCTTTCTGACCAGAAACCAAGCCTATCCAGCCTCAGAGGATTGGGAGAGGGGATTAGAAACTTCTCTGCACTGCCAAAATGTTATGGGTTGCTTCTACCAGCCAAGAGGAGGGGCTTTCCCACCATGGGCACAGAGAATACTAACAAGTCCCTCTTCCCAACCTCTCATCTTTCTCTTCTGGCTTCCTGGCCTTCAAAACCCGCAGGGGTGATCCCTGGGCCAAGATATGCATAGCTGGAGCAGCAGCAGCAGGGGGCGTTCCTCATGTTTCCAGCACTGACCTGGCCCTGGCCCAGTTTCTTTCCCTGGCAAGCTCTATCCTCAAAAGGCAGCTCAGTGGGGCCCAGGGGAAGAGTGGGGGGGTTCTTGGGGAAAGCCACAGCTCCAGCGGAGTGGTCCCTTCCCTCTCTCCTGCTTACCTCTGCTTGGCAGCTGGCTTGCCAGTTCTCTTCTCCTTCAATCGGGGTCAGGCTTCCTCCTGTGTCGGGCTGCGTCAGAGGGTTGGGAGCAGGGTTGGGAGGCGTGGTTGGGTCCTGGATGAAAGGATGGGATGGCTGCATGACATTCCGGAATGAGATCCAGGGATGCACAGCCATAGGGCAATTGATGGGAACCGGGCAGGTTAGCTCGTGAGCCAGTTGCTTCTTTGTACCAACATATTCCTGTATTATTCCTTTGTTCCATTAGTAGATTAGTGGCTACATTAATAAATGTGTAACTGTGCCCTTTCAGTAATAGAAACTATTTTTCTTTTCTTTTTGCTGCCCTGCTTTAAGTCTCTTGCACAGACAGAAACTACTCAAAAAAGAGGGTGATTTGTTTACCCTCAGGGGCAACGACTTTGTTCATTTTGTTCTACAATGCAAATACTTGCTTCTCTGGCCAAAAAGCAGGAAAATGACATGTCCAAAGGAGCCACTGTCCCAATCCCCCGTCTTTTTACAAAGATGGCTATTGAGGGAACATTGTGTCAATTACCCACTTGACTCAGTGTCCAAGCTAAGATCTAAGGTGCCAAAGCAAGTTGCATGTACAAAGTCTCAGCAGATGAAGACAAGAACACAATCTCGGCAGCAGATGAAACAGTCTTCTTTATTGGTACTGAGTAATAAGCATGCAGTTCAGGATGGCTGGCTCTCCCAAATGCCAAATAACAAGAAAGACCTTTGTCAATCCATCCTCTGAATCATCAATTAGGCGTTAAAAAGCTTCTTGGTATTCAGTCCTGCTGTATTTGACATGCATGAGAGAAACCAAAGAGAGCAGAAAATTCTCAAAGCCCAGGTTAAATTTTCCTTGTTAAAACGTCTGCTGTTTTTGGAGGTGTAGGATGAGTTCTTCTGCATAAACTCTGAACAGGGGAACAGGGTCCTAAGAAAATACAGATACAGAGTCAGTCTTACAATCGCCCTTGATTTCAGCTAATAGCACCTCATGAAGACTGGTCTCAGCCTGACTGAGGGGCTCCTGAAAGCAAGGTTCCAAAAGATATACTGAATCAATGGAAAGAAATGCAATTGAGAATACAACTGATTATTGGTTATGAGTAGGTAGATATTCTAATCTAGACAGATGTTGCACAATCAAGGAATTGCAAGGACTGGCCCACCAACTTCACTGGCACAATCCCTCCGTGAGGTGCCTAAACCACATTACCTTCTTCTCCAGGACTCTCTGCTTCTCCACAGCTTCCTCCAAACTCAGTCCAATCCATTCAGCCTCCTCTTCTGGAATGACAAACTCCTGTAGGCAAAGTTCAGTTTGCTAAACTGCAGCACAGAAACTTACTGAGAAACTAGATAGCTGTGATTATGGAAAAAGTGCAGATATAGGTAAACATAGGAGGAAAAACTCTAACGGAGAAAACTACATGCCAACACGATAGACTATTGGAATGGAAGCTCTTTTCCAAGACAGATGTGACTGTAGCCAAAAGTTACAAAGATTGCACTTCCCTCTGTGTCATTGTCTTGCACCAACAGATGGTGAAAAAACCGCATCCTGCAGAAAGAAACCACCTGTAGGCCTTCCTAGACATTCTTGCAAAGGAGAGTCACCTTGTATTTGTTATAAACAGCCTCCCTCTTGGCTGGATCATCTGGGTGGAGAGAAGGGTCCTTGCGTGCCAGTCTCAAAAGCAAGGTGCGCTTCAGGTCCATGCCCAATTTGGAACACAACTCAGACTTCGGGGTCTGTAAAATGGAAGGGATGAAATGCCACTGTCTACCTTATGAGTTACAGGTGGCCTTGTAGGCAACTGCCTCAGTCAAAGAAGGCCCTGCACAGTCTCAAGTCATTGTCATCATGCACTGACCAGAGCTGGGAAGGAAAGTCTGAGTTCTGAAACCAGCGGCAAACCTTTAAGATGTAGAAGTCAAAGCCGAAAGCTTTGTCCATCTGCTCCAGCGTCCTCATGGTGACGGCAATTCTCAACTTCTTGTCTAGGATCTCGCTGTAGAATTCGCGATTGAAAACCTGCGGCTTCCACATCTTCTTCAACCGCCTCGAGAGCTGAAGGCACCAAGGAAGGAGATGGAGCCAGGGGGGTGACGCGCAGGAGGCCCAACCCCCCCCCCAGCAGAGGGGCAAGCACCCCAAGCCTGCTCCAAGCGCAGGGCCGCAGACCCACCTTGTCGTCGTGGGCGTAGCGGTAGCCCGCCACACAGCCCTCGCCGCCCCACAGCCCCTCCTGGCTTTCGGGAGGGAAATAGACGGGCACCGGCACCACCTGCTGCCGCACACCCTCCAGAGGCCCCGGGCGGCGCGCGTACTCGCCGGCGGGCGGCCTCCAGTGGACGGCGGGGGGCGGCGCGGCGGCGTCCTCGCGCAAGGCCCGCAGGTAGTGAGGTGGCAGCCGGGCGAGGATCCCGCGCTGCAGGCGCAGCGAGTCCCACAGCCGCGGGGCCACCTTGTGCAGCTGCATCGCGCGCGGGACCACGCCGGAAGCTGCTGCCTCGGCCGCTCACCGCTTCCGCCTGCGTCTCGTTGGCATAGCCGAGCCAGAAGGGGAGGGCGGGTAGCGGACCTCCCTTCCGGGAGGGGGCACGCACGCACGCACGCACGCACGCACACAGAGAGCGAGAGTGAGCGTGAGCTCTCCGGGGCGCTTGGTCGCCTCCCGCCGACCGTCCAAGCAGGGCCGGCCAGGAGTTCGCGCGTGCGCGCCCGCGCCATCCCTTCGCCCTCCAGAAATGCTTCCTGCCCATCCCGGCAAGCAGGCGGCTGTTACATCGATGTGCCCCCTCCCCACCCCCGCCTCGCTTGCTCAGATGAACCGCTTCCACTAGATCCGCTCTGGGTGCCCTTCTCCCTTTGTAACCAACGCAAGCTTTACTTTTAATTGAGTTGAAGATATTTTAATGAAAGACGTGAAAGTTAAAGGAAGGTGTTCCGTTTTAAAAGGCTTTAAAATGCCGCAGAGGGCTCGATGGAATATAAATAGTAGGATATCGCGAACTGCAGATGCTAAAGCTTTTCCCGAGACAATGTAAAAGCAATCTGACCGCAGCACCAACTACTCTCCGTCCCTGAGAACTGGGGACTGTTCAGAGGCTTGATTCTTCTGCCTTCAGGAACGGGCTCCGCTGCTGCACAGATGTGACCTGGTCCTGGACCATCCTTGGCCAAGGATTCCAAGGACGTTTCCTGCCCTGCCCTGCCCCCACCCAGGAAGGGAGTTTGTATTTGAAAAAAGAACATACCAGGAGTCTTAGTGTACCAATAAAGTGCTATTCATACCTGAGTTCGAACAAGCCAATCTGGAATGGGTGACACTCTTCTGAGCAGAAAGCCCCTTCCTAGCCTGTTTTCATGGGCCAATGGTCTTGGCTGTGGAGGCAAGGTGGTAGATGCAGGGCAGAAACAGAGAGGCTTGGATACTCCTGCCTTCAGTCCCCCTGAATTGCCTCAATCCCCAGCCATTTTCTCCGCTGCCGAAGCATCTTATTTTCTTGCTGCTCATTATTCCCAAGGCTGCCACAAGATGAAGCCACATTTCCCAAGATTCAGAAAGCCCCAGGCTCTATCAGACAGCCTCCTCTCCAGCCTGATATTGCACTGCCTGGCTGCCTTCATTTTCGTCCAGCACAGCAGGAGGAATGGGGGAGGGTTCACATTCCTTTTGCCAAATTAAGTGATTCCATTGGGAGGGAGTCTGGCTGCATCAGTTCCTCCTTTCTAGTCACCTCACTGTGTAGAGTTCCTCCTGGTCATTCCTACAGATTTGGTAATGGCACAGCAGTTTACGGGACCAGGCCCATGGGTCTTTCTGCTTATCTCC